CTGTAATCTATCAGTAATCTAATATATCATACTGATAGCCTACAACAATCAGTCGTTTCGTGTGTCAAATAAATTGATCGAAGTGTCGTCGGCGAATTGTGTGAAATAAAATCGAAATTCTTTTCCTGACCTCACTGTCCAAACGTTACTGTTTACTAAAAAGTCAACGTCAGTTAAATGATTTGCACATATTGAAGCAATATTGTACTATCACATGTGATAAAGAATCACTGTTCACCCTAATGCTGAAAGTTTCTGGTATTTGTGATAAAGTATTTCAAACAATGGGCAACTGAAATTACCAGAAATGAGATCAAGTCTCCTTGCCTTCATGTCAACAACCGAAAGTCTTGTTACTTTCATAAAAATGATTTGCGTTGTTATGAGTAAATCATATTGGTGTTGTTTCAGTTTTCTTTGCTAAATTTCATTAACAATGGATTTCACGATACACCTCTCCTGACTTTTGCCCAATCTGGTATACCGATTAATATAACAAGCACCTACATATCTTCATCACAAATGTGTCAAAGGATATTTGTAAAAGTCTTTCGCTTATGTTTAACGATCGACTGTCCCAGACAGGGATATATATACGACGATAATTTGTTGGTACATCTATTCATTTGTTCACTCTCTGTTCGACCAGTCAAACTTGCAGTCCTTATTCCTACACTACTCTATACAAAAAGAAATGTATTTTGTCAAGCAAAACTCGTAGCTGTTTTACACAATGCTCAATCGTTATACGACACTGATACTTTGTTGAAAGATAAAGCAGCGTTTCAAGTCAAACGTTTGGTATACGTGATTAGGTTGTATACACTGTTTAATGACTGAATATGAAAGGATGCATTAAATAATCAGTTGTTTTCAATATTACCATATCCTACATCGTAAATCTATTTACTCGGAAGAACATTTTATTGTTATGCATTTGTAGTGACTTGTATTCTCCCCTCAGCGCATTAATCAATGTACTGAATACGTTGGTGATATTGAGTCAGATATGAGTGCAATACCTTGTTTCCATGTGAACATTCAGCAATAAATAGATGGGTTGTTTAATACTAATGCCCGGAAACATGTTATATTTTCAGCCCAAAGAATGTGTAATGATTCTCTCTGTTCAATATGAAACTGTATATCTCAGTAAATTCTTGAATAATATCGATAAAATCAGCATGGATGAAGAAGCGTATTCGGTTAAAACCTGTGTGGCATGTTTGGTTGATTAGTGATTAGTCCTCACATCTGAACCAGATCCTCCTTGTTCATCGATGATCCTGACTAGGTACGTGAGAGTTCCCGCCTCTTTCACTCATTCTCCACCATGTTTGGTTGAGTTGGTGTTCTTCTTATTGTATTTGAGGGCTTTGCTTTTTCCCTTGTGAATTTTGAGGCCTACTGATACAGAGGCTGATGCTATATTGATTGTTTCAACCTGCATTTGTTCGTGTGTATTGGTTAGAAGGGCCAAATCACCTAGTTACGTTCATCCTGTCCATTTTATTCCGCACTTCTTGTCACATGTCGAGGTCCTCATAATCCAGGGGATCACCAGGATAAAGGGGATCTGATCTTCACTAGGAATGCGTCTGTCAGCTATCCTACATGCATCGCTTGGTAGTGTTATCCACAGTATGAACTCCAAGTATTTATTCTTAACGTCTCTCATGCTCCTGTTCACTTGGTTGTTTGCTTCAGTGCACCCAGCTAGATCCTTGATTTCCTATGTTGTTGTTCGGGTGTTGTTAATGGCTTTCAACTTGTCCTTCATATCTTGAATCTTGTCTAGGATTTCGATAGGGGTCTGTTCATTATGCTAATGCTTGTTGCGGTCCACAACCAACTGACACATTGAGTTAGTGCTTGTTTGATCCCTTCTCAATTGTCCTCCATAGTATTTTGCTCTTAGAGTCGGTACTGTTAGGCTTAGAACCAGATGTTGAGACCTGTCTTGAATTCGTTGAGTTTGTCAGTATCCTGAAGGAATGCTGGATTGAACCTTTGTAAAGTTGTTTCTCCAGTTGTCCACTGCTTCCTTCGCTTCGGCTTCGTCGTGGCCAAAATCAGGTGGTGATCTGAAGCTACGGTTAGGTCTCTCTCTGGGTATTTTGCTATGATCGATGCAGTCTCCCATAAAACTGATCTTCGTCGTTGTCCTTGCTATCACTGGTGGGTGCATGATATTTAATAACACACATTGTGATTCCCTCTTTCTCCGTTTTGGAGGATGCTTTAATGTTTCTGAGTCCATGAGATTCCTATCACACACGTGCTTTACGCGCTTTTTTGGACAGCACCAGAGAAATTCAAAGAGCGTGTGTAGTATTTTCTTCATCGTAACCAGAGTACGGAAGCAGCTCTCCAGAATCCAACCTTTTCTGTCCAAGTTATGTCCAGTAAATGTCACTGATATCGAGCACAGTCAACTTGCATTCCCTCATTTCCGTAATTATCGACTGGTCCTTTCGGTCTCCTAAATTGTCCTGCCCTTTTATGTACCTTAATTAATTGATTTTTGCGCTGGATGTTAAAACGTTAATCGGTCTAGTGACTTCCGAAAAATCTCGGCTTTCACCATCAGGCATCATAATTCCTGTGAATGAGCATCCTTTAACTTCCAGATCAGAGTTTGATCGGTTTTTTCTCTACAGGATGAGATTGCTGACTTCCTCCTGAACCATCTTCATTTGCTTGAATATATGATCGTCAATAAATCTAGAAGCGCTGCAGGAATAACTTGAATAAAATTTAATGTGAATTTTCTAGTCAACACAGTTTCGTGTGAACTACATTCTGCACAGTCCGGAATAAAGCATTTATAATAATTAATTAGCCCGAGAAATCTGCTGTAGATATAGAAAGTTATTTATATTATTCATCTGATATAGATCTCTGCAAAGTTGGGGTTGATGAGATATTGATGCGGATTGAGAATGTTCATATCAAATCTTAACTTTCTTATATCGTTCACATATCGCAGCTGTGATTATCATCATTGTTTACTAAATGAGTCATCAACATGTCTGAAATGGCAAAAACTGGCATAAGCTTGTCTGCTTCTGGACTAACGGAGTGGTTTGCTTTGTTGAAACTGCGGAAAATCTTGTCGGTAGTGGTGTTAGATCGTGTCACTTTCCTACGTTTGGCTGGACTCTTAGAAGAAGGGGATTTCAGTTCATCTTGAGGCATGATAAGAAAGTTATAAGTAGCTGATGGATAGAACAATAAGTTGGAAATAGAAACAGGTGGAAAAACTAGGGCCGAGGGCTCAAGATAGTTTGCAAAGCAAAACCTATGTTTTGGAAAAGAGTGAATGTATCGTGAGGATTAGTAAAGATGTCAAACACAAAAGTGTAAAGTGGCAGGAGGATCGTAGTAGAGATATAGTATGTATCACAGTACATGTACGGCGGCAAAATAGAACGCAAATATGCATATTGTGTATACTTTAACATCTATAATACACGGAAAGATAGCCTTACACAATAAAACAATCCAGAACTGTTGGTAATTGATATCAAACAGTCAAGGTGGGCACGGCATATGATACGTATATTAACTGAAATGCTGAATCAGTTGAAATTGGGGGGGGGTAAATATATCGACCAAAAAATATGACAGAATCACTAAATGAAACAGGTAATTTCAGAAATTAAATGAGTTATGACACTCAAATACAATTTAAAAGATAGCATATAAAGTAGTGAATATAGCGTTTCATCATAAATACTTCTATATTTTTTTAAGTGTTAGATAGAGCTCTGAATAGATACACAGAGAACTTAAGTTATAGCATCCAAATACGATATAAGGAATAGTATACAAATATGGAATGCGATTCTTATTCAAACGTGATTATATATTGTTTAAAAGTGATATAGTATGGTTTTATCGTATAGCTCAAATGAAAATGTTGTTATATGAATATGAATTAGAAAGGCTCACCAGCTCAGAACAAATCGCTTGTCACCTGACTAGTGACATTCCGGTCGAACCATCATCGAATGGAATTTCTTATCTAAACACGTGTTTAAAGCTCCGTTTCTCAACGCTCTCAAAAGAAAATTGGACCGGCTGAGAAACCGCCGCTGTCAGAACTAGCATACACCGCCTAGAAACTGTATCCAATATCTTTCTAACGTGTCCTCGAACTTCTTCATTCCTGAATTCTGGGTTTCGGATCATTGAAATATAAAGTTGTGACAGTCAGTAGAGTTGTCAAGCCATGGATATCTGTGAGACGACTAGACACTCGTGTAGCGATAAACAAATCCCCAAAATAAATAGCTCTGTAAGTTTTCGACATTGAATGCTGACCACATGTTTTATTGGACTCACCCAGCTGAAGGCGCTCGCTCGTGCATCCGCACCAGATCACGTGTGGGAACGCTTTGTTCAACATCTACTGCAATCGCTAGCCAGACTAGATCAGACAGTTCCGATATATTGGCAATCTTGAAATACAAATTCTGATCTCCTCAATTCTGTCTTTTGATTCCTCTTGGTGGGTACGAGATATATTAGAAGGTGTTACTGGTTAAAGCGTTGTCAAACACTGAATACCTGTGACATCTTCACTCGCAATACCTTATCACAAAGAATGGCCACAGATTTCAGACCCGATGTTGTTAATACTAATATCTGAAGATTGATTTGGATTTTTGGAAGCAATTAGTTGAATATAACTGCCAAGAAGTTTCAAATGTGTTTGAACTAACCAAAGTTTGGTATTGCATTGTATATTAGGGGGTTGTTTTGAAAGCTTGAGGTCACCTGGTGGTCTTGTGGATTTCAATTCCCATCTGCATATAAGGGATGAAAGTAAGCATTTGTAGTTCTTAATTACTGTCAGGTATTTGTTCGGGAGTGTAAAACTGACAAACTACTTCTTACATGGGAGAATGTACGTTCCTTTTAAAAATCAATCTTGCACTATATACATAGGTCTCAAATGATGCAACGATTCTCGACCTTAAAAATAGGATTTATCTGGAAAGTAACACATTTTTTGTGGTTAACCAAAGTTTCAGGAAAGAAGCCTCAATTAATACGACAGAGTATTCGTCTTGATCCTCGTAAGTTTTGGGACTATCCCACAATCAATTGTAAACAGTACCTCACCACAATTAGTTTTTACCAATAAATGTGAGCAGATGTTTCTGGAACACAAAGTGTGTATGAGAAACTTTCAATTGGTTTCCCAAGGCACTTATTCTGTTTTATCATCAATTTTCTGATGAAGGAAACGTAATTAGTCTTCCGAGTATCCTATATCCATGGCCATTTAGTTGGCAATATTCGTGATCATTCAATACTTGACTTGCAATTTAGTCTCCATTAGGTCATACCACCGATAATCTCATTTGTCCTATTTTAGATAGCGATTCGACTTATCACGTGATTTCTTCATCATTATTCCTAACAAACTAGTCATAATACAGCATTTGCGACATAAAATACCTGCCATCATAGTTCTGTCTTACATCTTTTTCAATGCAGCTAACAAAGAAATTTCACTGACCACTATCCAGCCAAACCTGTCATTGAAAGGTGTACCTCAAAAGTACACAAACCTTTTGAGGGCTGTACACGAACACTGCCATTCGAGTCAGAGAATATGGCGAACTGTCTTCTGATTTCGCAACCTTAAATGGTATTCGGCAAGACTGTCAGCTATCTCCATTTTTGTTCAATTTCATCATAGACCTACTGCTGGAAATTACGCTCACGTCGACTGAATTTCCTGGCATTGATCTCCTACAAGGAGGTCCACTTATCGACTTAGAATGTGCAAATAATATAGTCCTGTTTGGTAAGACGCTGATAAAATACAGAGTCTTTTGGTAGCACTGAGTAACAATCCCATGGTGTTTGGAATGCATCTCTCCCCCCTCTAAATGCAAATTGTTGGTTCAGGACTGGCTTGCGTTAACACCTGAACTAAGTATAGGGAGTGAAGTAGTCGAACGCATCGACAACTCCACTTATTTTTCTGATCAGCCCTAATAGGTTGGTTTCTGGTGAAATCTCAGCACGGATTTGAAAAAGGTCGTTTGACTTTTGCCAAATGGTGTCACCTATGGCAAAGCCAATTAAGGAACGAGTGCGCAGCGGTTTGTTCCGTTCTACTTTACGGCTGTGAAACGTGGCCATTAGGAGTAGAAGTTATTTGTTAACTACTAGTATTGGACCGCAGATGCCTCAGAAATATTGCTCGCATATGCTGGGATCACCAGGTAAGTAATAGTGAGGTTAGATGTAGGGTATTAGGCAATGATTATAAATCGGTTGATGAGGTTGTAAATCTTCACCTACTGAGACAATTGGGCCACATGTTACTTATGCTTGAACACCGATTACCACGACGTGCAATGCTAACCGGTATTGGAGATGGTTGGAAGAAAGTTAGGGGCGGCCAAACCAAAACGTGGCATCACTCTTTGGAGTCACTAACTTTTGGTCTGAGCCGTGTTGGTAGATACAGACTACTTGGTTGGGGTCTGCGTGACTATCGTAACCTATGGTCGGAGACTCTGGGTGATGGCCCAGAGTCCATCACAACGGCGTAGTTGTATACGCTTTCTGTCTTCCCTTAAATTATGAGATTAAAATCGCTTCATATCTTTCTTTCTACCATCTAATTCTTTCTTTCCGTACTATATCCTTATATGCAACTTTCCTTTTATATATTATCACCATTAAATTCACTACTATGAATTTGGTGTTCATCTTGTTGTTCTAATGAGTTGTGACAACTTCACTCGTTTATTTATTTATTTAAACATAAATATAGGTACAAGAAGGCAACAAATAGATATGCGCCGCATAAATCATTCGATTTGTATGAGGGCTAGAATACTGCCCGGGCGCCTAAACCGAAGCAGGTGGTTTTCTTAGCGGCCACACCTTGAGCCTTTGACCTGGAGGTCTAATCCTCAAGGCAGTGAAGCAACACAAGAAGGTGCAGTCCCATGCTAGCCGGTGACCACCGATTGGTTCATTCGCCATTTGTTCCTTCAGGATGCTGGAGCCTATGTACACCATTGGTTTGGAATTGTGGTTTTCCAACTCTAGGTGGACTCCGTATCCACCAACTTGGACCGATGCATATATGTGCATGGTCTTACTTTGTAGCTAACTGACTGACTGATGTGACGAAATTCAAAAGAACTGGTTTTGCAATTAAAGTAATGCAAATGGACTACCAAAATAAATTAATCCCAACACTGTATCGACTTTCTGGTTGCTGATACGAATTAATTCAGCTCTGCTCTTGATGGAAATAATTCAAGGTTTTCAAACAAAATATATTTAAATCTACGTAGCTGAAAACTTTTGATTTTTATTACATACCGTAAATGTTCGTTCAAGTTTTTTTCGGAATACCTTTCTTGAGACTGCATAGTAATTCCTATGAGATTTTTCAAATATGCTTGTAAGCTTCCTACTACTAAAAATACTTTTTTGTCCAATTTCTTAAAGGTGGAAAGTCAATAGATGATAACAAACGAATATCTGAGTTTGAAAACACGGACAAATCTGGGTGTGTTAATTTATATTTAAGGGATATTGGACCACAAATTGGTTGGCGTACGGTGTTTTTATTAGAGTACACAGGACCACTAATCATATATGCAGTCGTTTGGCTTCTTCGACAACCTTCTTTAAAAAATAACATGCTTCCTCCTATGTCATCTGACTTCTATTTAAGAAGAGTTGCTTTAGCTTGTTGGTCTGGCCACTACATTAAACGTCTACTGGAAACCGTGTTTGTCCATCGGTTTTCTCATGCTACAATGCCATTGCGTAATCTGTTCGTCAATTGTTCATATTATTTTGGATTCGCTTTGTTCATAAGCTATTTTACAAATCATCATTTATACACACCACCTAGTAAGTTTGATTAACAGTTGATCAAGTGTTTTTTTTCAGTTTGTATGTTAATTAGGTAGGTGAACTGCTGTATGTTTTAAGTTGGTCTTTTAATATTCTGTGTCAAAACCACATATTTGTTGAAAAGTAGTATCTATCTTCGAAATGAAACAGATTATAAGTATCAGGTTTCTAACCATTTTGTATTAAATACGTCTAGCTAAACTCATATTTCTAAAGTATGTAATTTCCTAAACCCTGAAAATTAATCAAGTAATGGTGCATCTCACATTTACTATAAATATATGGTTACTGAGTATGAAGGTGTCAGATACGAAGAATGTGACAGATTTACTACCTGAAATCTTACCCAAGGATCCCAAACCCAATGAAACTGTTGAGATTAAGGGAATACAAACGTACATCTGATTTATTTAGAATTGCCCCCAAATACCCTGGTACGGCTGAGAGCGTGGAGAGTCCGCTCTCCCTCTCCAAATGCTCTCACATGGCCACGCGTATATAGCCTCTGCCAGGGAAGTCCTACTCACTGCCTTCTCGTGGCGGGGGTGTTGTTTACGGAGATGAGAGGACGAAAAGCGAATGTCCGGCTCTTTAACCGGATCCCAAACCAATGGTGCAGTCAGTCAGTCACAACATAGAACTTCGTACGTACGTACATCAGTTCGAGTTGCCACACCACATTAGCACAGAGATGCAGTTGTCGATTCAAATCCCGTAGTGGTAGAGGTAGCAAGAGTATAAGCAGTAATCGGGAAGATTAGGGTTTGGAGATGTTATTTAAAGAGTATAATCCAGTGAAATAAATTTGGAAAGAGGAAAAAAGGGACATAAAGAATTCAGAAGATTAAAATTTGGAAGAACACAGAGAGTGGATCCACCTGCGCCATTGCAGACGATTTTGAGCCTTGTCATTCAGGGTCTCTAACCATCGGTTGCTATCATCTCGCGGTCCCCAACCGGGTAGTCTACACCTACCAACATGACTCAGTTCACTTGTCAGTGACTTCATGGACTTGTGCCATGTTTTGGTTTGGCCGCCCCTAGCTTTCTTTCAACCTACTCCTATACCACTGAACATAGCACGTCGAGGCAGTCGGTCGTTGGGCATATGTAAAACGTGTCCCAGCCATCTCAACTGATGAAGTCTCACTACTTCATCAATTGATTTGCCATCCTTACCTATTACCCGTTTCCTAACAACTGTGTTACTTACTCGATGGTCCCATGATATACGAGCAATGTTTCGAAGACACCTATTATCAAATACTAGTAACCTACAAATATCCTCTACTCTTACCGGCCATGTTTCACTGCCATAAAGTAGGACGGAACGAACTGCTGCGCAGTAAACACGTCCTTTGGTTGATAGACGGATATCTCGCCTATGCCATAAATGACGCAAGTTGGCATAAGCTAGTTGAGCCTTCTGTATCCGTGCTGAGATTTCATCACACACCAGACCTTAAGGGCTGATAAGACTTCCAAGATAAGTGAAGCGGTCGAAACGCTCGTCATTAGTTCGGGTGTCGATGCAACCCAATCCTGAAGCAACATTTTGCATTTCGAGGGAGAGAATCGCATCCCGAACATGCTTGCATGGTTGTTTAGAGTGGTCAGAAGACTCTGCATTTTGTCAGCGTCTTCACCAAATAAAACTATGTCATCAGCATATTCTAAGTCGACAAGTGAACCTCCCGGTAGAAGTTCAACCTCTGGGAATTTAGATGAGAGTGTTATCTCTAAAAGTACGTCGACCACAAAGTTAAACAAGAATGGAGAGAGTGAACACCCCTGACGAACACCATTTGAGGTAATCAATTCTGATGACAGTTCTCCATAAGCTCTCACTCTACCAGTTGTGTTCGAGTAGAGAGCCTTTATAAGGTTAATGTACTTCTTTGGTACTCCTTCCAGTGACAAGCACTGCCATAGAACCTCACGATCAACAGAGTCGAATGCCGCCTTAAGGTCGAGAAATACTACGATTGTGGGGCGTCTGAATGTGTGTCTGTGTTCTAGAACCTGACGTAGTGTGAATATCTGATCTATACAACCACGTCCAGGTCGAAAACCGACCTGGTTTTCTCTAATCTGCCCTCACGAGCTTTGTTTAGGCGTCGAAGTATTATTGAGGCTAATATTTTAGACACTATATTAGTCAAACTGATTCCTCTGTGATTGTCACAAGAGGACTTTTGTCCTTTCTTATAGACTGGCACAATCAGTGATTGAGACCAGTCAGATGGGATTACGTCCAGTTCCCAAATTCTACCTAAGACCTCGGTTAATCTCATTTCTAATACTGGACCACCATCCTTAAAAATCTCAGGAGTAAACCTGTTAGGGCCTGCTGCTCTCTGTCGTTTCAGATTTCCTATGGCTTTTTCAACTTCGTAAAGGGACGGAGGACCTACATTAACTTGCCATTCAGGTTGACTAGAGATCGTGGGAAACCGAAGTGTGGCTGAAGGCCAGTTGAACTGATCCCTAAAGTGTTCTGCCCATCGATCCAATCTCCTGGTTTGATAGTGTATGATATATCCATCTTTCTCTGAAATTGTTTCGCTAACGGTCGGGTTCCTAATTCCGGTTTCCTTAACGAGTCTAAACAATTGTCTGCTATTTACCTATTACCGCTGCCTTTTCCATCTCTCTTGCTTTCGCTACCCACCACTGTTCACGATCATTGCGTAGACTTCTTGTCAGCGTGTGCTTAAGGTGACTCCGCTCTTCATTATGTTCAGAGCCAGGTGGAATGAGTTTCCGAGCATCTATCAGTGCGATAGATGCTGCTGAGATCCAGTGTTGCTCCCTAACCTTCTGGTTTACCGTACTAGCAGATATCACTGCTGTTTCCACAGCTTTTCGGATATCATTCCATGTTGCCTCGGAGTGGGCATCACATACATGGCTGCCTAACTGTTTTCCTAGTTGTTCCGGAAATATACTCTTAGCTTGACTATCATTAAGTAGGCCCCTAAGAGGTTTCCTTGCAGCGTCTTTCCTACGTCCAGTAAGACGCGAGCAGATACGCGCTCGCTCCAGAGCATGATCTGAATCTAAGCATGTGCTCCAGAATGAGCGACAGCCTTCTACCGAGCCCCTCCATCGGTGGCTGATAGCGATGTGATCTATTTGGGTCCAACTTTGGGACGAATTAGGGGGTCGCCATGTTAAACGATGTTTTTCCTTATGCTTAAAGTTAGTATTTGAAAGGAACAGGCGGTTATCTGAGCATAGCTGCAACAGACGATCGCCATTATCTGTTCGTTGAGCCACGACACCATAAGATCCACCTAGGTGTCTTTCCCCATCGCTTAGTTTACCTACTTGAGCATTAAAGTCACCGGCCACTATTACTACATCAAAGCGCTTAGCTTTTCGGAGAAGGTCGGAAAGCTTTCTGTAAAACTCATCTTTTACATCATCTGAGCCGCAGTTAGTGGGAGAATAGGCATAAACGACGAAGAGGCAACGACGAGTGTCCCTATCTTTCCGGATTGTTACTGTTCCGTTCAGTCGGACCGCACAAACGGCTGTCTACTGGGATCCACTCTAAGAGAGCTAGTTCTGCCCTAGAACTCAATGCTATACCTACGTCGGCGAGGCTACGGGAAGCAAAATCACGGCTTCCAGATACACGAAGCGTAAATCGAGTCGGTTCTTTATTTTGGCATGGTGAGGTCAAATGAATGACGCCACTCGGATCCTGTATGCGCGTTTCGGAGACGCAGCACACATCGATGGCGCGAGATTCTAAAGTCCTAGCTAAGGAAGCCTGCTGTCCTATTTGGCAAAGTGTTCGTACGTTAAAAGCTCATACGTGTAGTTTAGAGCGTGGTATCAGGAGACCAGGGATAGCGTTCCACGTACTTGAATCGTTTGCCCTAGCGGTGTGAGGTGATAAAGAGACGTGAGGAGGGATAACCATGGAGATAAGAGAGGTATTAGGAAGTGTAGGAAGGATTTGAATGTGACCAACTTGGTCTCGTGTGCTGTTACGGGTATGAGGGTTGATGTCACTTCCCGGCTGCCCACACCGTGGAAGGGTATTTCTTCAGGAACCTGAAAAGGAAATTGGATTAGTACTGGTCTTGACCACCCGGGAGCGTGACCGCAGAGCCCAAAAGACAACTGCTTGAGGCCGGTCGTGCACGGCCTTTTTGTGAAAGGTTTTTGACGTGTTAGCTCCGTTCTTCAAAGGGCCTTACCGCTGGAGACGGACATCTGTGAGGTAAGGTGAGGTGTGACAGTTTTAGGGTTGACCTTTTCTAACCGCTTCCTTCCTTGTGAGAAGGCAGCGTCGCTGCAGATGCTGGTTGTCCGAGGGAAACACCTTACTGGTGTCACACCCATCTACAGTCAGCAGTAAGACTTCGCCCTCAGAACTTGAGTTGCTGCTTTTAGTCTTACCGTTCTCCAATCGACCTGCCTGACATGGTAGAACCTGCAGGAACATATGTTCCAGCCAGTATAGCTCGGTTGGGTCATCACGATAGGCAAGCCCAACCACCGCGTCAAGGTAGCAGCTTCGGTCGGGAAACCAATGGTGCACATGGGCTCCAGTATCGTGAAGGAACAAATGGCGTATGAACCAATCGTTGGTCACCGGCTACCATGGGACTGCATCTCCTCACGATGCCTCACTGCCTTGTGGGTCAGACCTTCAGGTCGAAGACTCGGGGAGTGGCCCCCTAAGAAAACCACCTGCTTCGATTTGGGCACCCGGACAGTATCGCAGCTCTTACACATATCGAATGAGATTTGTGTGGCGCATATGTATGCAACGCTATCCGGTACTGGAAATGGTTGGAAGAAAGTTAGGGGCGGCCAAACCAAAACGTGGCATCAGTGCATGAAGTCACTAACTTCTAGTCTGAGCCATGTTGGTAGATGCAGACTACTTGGTTGGGGTCCGCGTGACTATCGTAACCAATGGTTGGAGACTCTTGGTGACATGGCTCAGAATCGATCACAATGACGTCGGTGTATACACTCCCTGTCTTCCCTTAAACTAAGAGATTGGAATCGCTTCATATCTTTCTTTCTACAAACCAATTCTTTCTTCTTGTACTATATCTCTATATGCAATCTTTCTCTTACATATTACTACCTTTGACCTAACCACTGCTATGAATCCGGTGTTCATCTTGTTGTGCTGATGCGGTATGGCAACCTGGACCGATGCACATATGTGCCTGGTCCTACGTTGTAGTTGACTGACTGACTGATGTATTTGGTGCCTCCTTGTACCAATGTTTATGTGTTAAAATAAAATAATAAAATATTTAGAATTACAGGTACAAATAATTGTTAATTGAAAGATGCTAATAAGTGCCTCATAATGCGATCGCAAATGGATTCAACGGCAAATCGGATAATTTGACTCTATTAGTATTATTAAGTAGTTTACCGATGTCAGTCGTTACAAAGTATATCCAGATGAATTTCGAAATATTTATCTGCGAAAAGTGATTACTTGAGTTATACATGTTTCGTCGTAATAACCACAAAAGCTTATTAATATTTATCATTAGTAAAACTATTTTTGTTCTGAATAATGTTTTTTTCTTGTTTCACAGCCTTTGGTCACACACAAATAGTTATAGGCTTCTTTCTCTTCATGGTAAGTCCCGTTTTTGTTTGTTTGTTGTTGAGAAATTCTTATTAACCCACTTTCACATTGATTTAAATCGGGTATTCTTTAAAAGACTGTATAGTGAACAATCAATCAGGCAGTAGTAATTGATATAAGGTGGCATAAATATGCGTTAGTTCAAATTGCCATATCACATTAACATACCGAGATAAAATTAACCAAATGAATATAAGTAGAATCGAAATAGAATAGCAGTATCAATCGTGGTGAGGAAGCCTTAACTCTAAAACTTTTTAAGTTTCCTGTATTTTCATCTTGGGATTACATACACCATATTATTATTCAACTAATTGCAAAAAATCTCATTTTCCATTTTTGAAGTTTTTTTGAAATTCTATCTCAAAGTTGTGCGTTCTTTATAATCCTTCGGTCCTGTTCCTGCCAGATTAATACCACGAAGGAACCAGTCAATCAACTACAACGTAGGACCAGGCACATATATGCATCGGTCCAAGCTGCCATACCTCATTACTACAGCAAAATGAACACCGAATTCACAGAACAGTTACTTCAATGGCAGTAAGGTATGAAGAAAAAAGATTGGATATAAGGATATAGTACAGAAAGAATTATTTGATAGAAAGAAAGGTACAAAGCAATTTTAATCTCCAGGCGCTTTCTGGAGATCATTTAACTCGTGATAAAATCTGTCCTTGATTATATCCGGGTTGTAATCAGTCGTGCTCAGTGGTCTAGAGGTTAAGCGTTCGCGCGCGAGGTTATTTATTTATTTATTTTGACACATGAATATTGGTACAAGAGTGCGCCAATATATATGCGCCACACAGAACAATGAATATTCGAAGAGGAATACAAAGAAAGAAAAAAAAGAAGCTAAGGAGCACAAAAAAAGAGAGAACAATAACGAAGAGATTGGTGTAAGGTAATGTGCTAGTAAACGGAACGCAAAGGTACAATCGGAAGAAATCTTTCAGGTAAGGCAGACACAACCACTTTTTATGAAGAAAGTAAAAGAAGGTTACAGCAGCATCGCCACTGGCTTCTATTCTGAGCCATATCTGATAACGTCTCTAGCCACTGTGTAGCACCATCTCTCGGACCCCAACCAGGGAGTCGTGAAGGACCGACACAAGCCAGTCCTTTGCAGCTTTCTTTCATACCACGACACCATGTCATGCACTGACCACCTCTCCGCTTCTTCCAACCAGTGCCAGAGTCGGCAAATAATGCACGACGTGGAATTCTCTGGGACGACATTCGTGGAACATGTCCAAGCCACCGAAGTCGGTGTTTCAAGATGGTGACACCAATTGAATTATCATCTCTGTACACGAACACACGATGCCGAACCTCTGCATTACTGACATGGTGTTGCCACTGAATGTCAGCAATCCTTCGGAGACAGCGATGATCGAACACAGAGAGTCGTCTAACGTCCTCAACTCGGAGAGGCCAGGTTTCACAAGCATAGATCAGAACTGCTCTCACCGACGCGTTGTAGATCCGACCTTTTACAGCCAAAGATGGCCCAGATTGGCATAAGCCGCTCTGGCTTTCACTATTCGTGCATTGATCTCATCACTCACACCCCCACCAGCACTTATGCAGCTAGCCAGATACACGAACTTCTCGACTACGTCTATCTGCTCACCACCCACGGTGAGTACAGGATTAGAATTCTGCCAGTCTTGTAGAAGTACTTTGCACTTCGAAGGTGCAAAGCACATACCATACCTACGGACACTGATTGCCAACTGATTAAGTGCGGATTGCATGCCTTGGGCATTATCGCACAGTAAGACAATATCGTCCGCATACTCAAGGTCGAGAAGTCTTTCTCCAGGCAACAGATCCACACCGCCATTACTTACATCCATCAGAGCTGTTTCCAGAATGTCATCGATGGCAAAGTTGAAGAGGAATGGTGAGATTGGGCAACCCTGCCTAACCCCACTATTCGAGTCCCGCGGATTGGACACTGGGTGCGCACTGCTGGGGAGTCTTATGCTAGAAAGAAACGGACGTCCAGGGCTTCACGTTTTTGTCCTGGTACGGCTGAGGGAGGGGAGAGTCAGCTCTCCCTCTCCAGTCAGTCACTTGAGATCGTTTGGGTAGGACGGAATTTCCATCGTAGGTGAGCTGTTGTTAAAAAAAATGATAAAAAAGAATACACACAATGAGAATAAAAAGGAGTAGACAAGTGGTTCAATATGAAATAAGAACGAATATTACCAAATATTTGTGAGTATAATTGGTGAGAATGCTAATTGAAGCGAGATTAATTTTTTCCGTCGTAAACATTCGATTTGTGTGTGGACTAGGATACTGCCAGGTTGCTCAAACCCAAACAGGTGGATTTCCTAGGAGGCCTTTGACCTAGAGGTTTAATTCACAAAACACTATAGCAACGTTAGGAGCTGCGGTCCCATAATAGTCGGTGAGCAAGAATATGTTTATACGTTATTTGTTTTTTCAGAATTATCATATACCTTGACTGGTTCACCTAAAACATCTATCAACCAGTGAAGCTCCCATAATACATCACCGTTGATTTTGTGTTGTACAGAAATGTAAAAGTGCGTATACTAAGGTTTATTGAAGCCTTAGGCATACGAAAATTCAAACCATTGTTGGTATTCAAAAAGAGTTTGTTCCCACCTTAAACCTACCCTAGTAATATTGACTTATTATCCAGAGTGATAAGGTATCAAATTGTTTCCACAGAATTTTCTTTATTATCCCTGTTTCCTCTTACCCTCCGTTTCTAGTCTAGTTGACCTTTTATTCTTCAAATATAAATGCTCTTAACAAGTATATGTGTGGTCAGATTGTTCGAAATGTATTACGCTAATATTCCACATAGTCCTGATAATCTTCGTCTCCTTATTAAACTATCGAAAAAGAAATACATTATCTTAATCTTTCAGGAACTAAAAACCAGTTTTATCGCAGTTTCACTTATAAAGCTAAAAATTCGTCCACCATGTTGCCGCATTATCAAATACAGTTCCATTTACTCAGTTTCAGGCCACAGAGTTTCAATATAAGAGTTAGTGAAGCTGTTACGGGGATCAAACTTCAAATTGCATCATTGTAACCCTACTGTTTTAACCATTAAACTATCAGTGGGCATAAATGTGTATATAGTAATGAGAACTGAACAGAAAGCATAATAACATTAACTGTATAAATTAGTGTTATTTAATCATTTGTCTAAAGATCCAACTTGTTGTGCCTTAATCTGTCGAACAATGACGTTCAAAGGGTTTCCAAAATGAACTTGACAGATTTGTAACCGAGGACGACTACGATTTTCAGCTCGTGAAACCACTAAATAATTGTTTTTTCCCTAAACGTTCGATTTGTGGTCACTAAGTTCCAGCTTCAAACTGTGCTCCACCTACTTTGGTTTATGCAACCGATTAGCGTCATTAGACTTCACATTTAGAGTGTGATTCTCCTTCAACTGCCTTGTAAATAAATTAGTTTGAAACATTTCAAATGTAGCCTTTAGTGTTGCATCATTAGTTCATAGTGTTCAACTGTATACATTTGTGCTTATGATGTTAATCACATTTGTGTACATTTTATCGTACTGTAGATTGGCGAATGGGGAAACTTTTCATGTCATTTAGCATTTAAACGACTTCGACCAGCTGGTTCAAAAGTTCGACAGATACCTTATCCAGTGGATGGTTGGTTATGTACTCGGATGTTTAATTTAGTGGCATGTCCTAATTACACTTATGAAATTATATCATGGATTGGTTTTACTATTATGACACAAACATTACCAGGTCAGTTGCTAATTTTTTGACTCTCAATATAATGTTAGTCAATCAGATTTATTTTATATTTCCAAATGTATTTGATGATGTGTTTTAAGTTACTTGCTTACGCCTGTTACTCCTCATGGAGGAGCGTAGGCCTTCGACCAGTATTCTCCATCAGACTCTGTCTTGGGCAAGCCTTTCTAGTTGCTATTGATCCTTTTCATATCTGCTTCCGATTCCCGACGCAGTGTGTTCTTCGGCCTTCCTTTTTCCCGTTTCTCTTCAAGATTCCAAGGACTTGAAGAGGAAAATAGGGTACCGATATGCTTGATGGTCTGACTAAGTGGTCACAGTTCAAAAATAACAGGTGCTTAGGATCGGTCAGTCTCTCTGTGAATAATTTTAAAATATCTTAACCTCGTACTCCGAAAGGCCATTCTGTGGGCGGTGGAAATCTGTAGGACATGAGGATATGTTCTAATTTCAGATTCGACCTTTTATAATCCTTTCTGTTATGGCAAGGTAACATCCCTATTGATACTGATTTTCTCATGAACGCAAGTTACTTCCATCTCGCCCCTGTACAATTAGGAATACAAATTTGTTCCTGGATTGAGTTTGTTGTTTTTAATCATACTATTATCCAGCTGACCTACCTGGTATAGTAGGACTTGAAAGAATAGATGTTCTAATCGATATAGTTCGACGGAGTCTTCATGATATCAAGACATCCGAAACCTTTGGATCAAACCTTAGTCATCAGTGAATACACAATTATTGTACACTTTGTTTAGTTACTAACAAGGTTTAATCATTCTACATATCAAAATATTTTTGTTGTTGTTGAAGAATCCTCAAACACTAAATTGTTAATTTTCTCATTTATTCTAGCTCTTATATTTACTATTTGTGGATTTCGTCAAATGAGTGTATGGGCTATTAATAAATTGAAAGCGTATCGTCTTGAATTTACAGATTTTCCAAAAAATCGAAAAGCAATTGTACCATTTATTCTTTAATTTCTTTATTACATAATCATTCTATGCATCATTAATATCACTATGATTGTTATTGAACTTTTAATATTCATTGTGATCTCTGTTTTTATTTGAAGACATAAATATTGGTACAAGGGGGCATCAAATATATATGCGCCACACTTTTGTATGTGGGCTGTGATACTGTCCGGGTGCCCAAACCGAATCAGGTGGTTTTCTTAGGAGGCCACTCTCCTAGCCTTCGACCTGAAGATCTGATCCATAAGGCAGTGGAGCATCGTAAGGAGATGCAGTCCCACGGTAGCCGGTGACCAACAATTGGTTCATACGCCATTTGTTCCCGCAAGATACTGGAGCCCGCGTACACCATTGGTTTGGAATCCGGTTAAAGCGCCGGACATTCACCTCTCGTCCTCTCATTTCGTAAACAACACTAATGCCGCGAGAAGGCAGTGAGTAAGACTTCCCTGGAAGAGGTTATATACGCATGGCCATGTGAGAGCATTCGGAGAGGGAGAGCGGACTCTCCCCACTCTCGGCCATACCAGGGCATTTGGGGGCAATTGATGAGATCCCAAAAAGCAATCGATTATTCAGTCAGATTTGGAAGCCCCATCAGTGAGAAATCATTCTTTATCTTATTCTATTTGAACACAAATATTGGTACAAAGGGTCGCTAAATACATATGCGCCACACAAGTCACCTGATTTGTGTGTGAGCTGTGATACTGCCAGTGTCCAAGCTGAAGCAGGTTATTTTCTTAGGGAGCCATACCCGGAGCCTTCGACATAAAGATGTGATCAACAATGCAGTGGAGCAACGTCAGAAGATGCAGTCCCACGGTAGCCGGTGACCAACTATTAGCTCATACGCCATTTGTTTCTTCAGGATACTGGAGCCCATGTGCACCATTGGTTTGGAATCAGGGTTTTCCAACTCCTCTAGGTGGACCCTACTTGTCTAGCAACCTGGTTAAAGCTCCAGACATTCGCTTTTCGTACTGTCGATTTCGTAAACAACACCCCCGCCACGAGAAGGCAATGAGTAGGACTTCCCTGGCAGAAGCTAAATACGCGTGGCCATGTGAGAGCATTTGGAGAGGGAGACCTGACTCACTCCACTCTCGGCCGTACCAGGACATTTGGGACCCACTGTTATATAATATACTCTTGTGGGCCAGGGTAATTTTACATTGGTTTCCAGGAAAAACCAGACACCATCCGGGCTTTCACGTGACAACCCAAACATTACAGCTCAATCCCGTTTAACAGGAGAACGAGTATACTGCGCGGCAGTCCGTTCTGTTTTAATTTACGGCAGCAAAACATGGCCATTAAGAGTAGAAGACACTCGTAAGCTATTAGTATTTGACCACAGATGCCTTAGAAATATTGCTGGGATCACCGGGTAAGTAATAGTGAGGTTAGACGCAGGGTATTAGGGAATGATGGTAAATCAGTTGATGAGGTTATGAATCTTCATCGACTGAGATGGTTGGGCCACGTTACGTATGCCTGAACACCGATTACGACGACGTGCAATGCTATCCGGTATTGGAAATGGTTGGAAGAAAGCTAGAGGCGGCCAAACCAAAACGTGGCATCAGTGCATGAAGTCACTAACTTCTAGTCTGAGCCATGTTGGTAGATGCAGACTACTTGGTTGGGGTCCGCGTGACTATCGTAACCAATGGTTGGAGACTCTTGGTGACATGGCTCAGAATCGATCACAATGGCGTCGGTGTATACACTCCCTGTCTTCCCTTAAACTAAGAGATTGGAATCGCTTCATATCTTTCTTTCTACAAACCAATTCTTTCTTCTTGTACTATATCTCTATACGCAATCTTTCTCCTACATATTACTATTTTTGACCTAACCACTGCTATGAATCCGGTGTTCATCTTGTTGTGCTGATGCGGTATGGCAACCTGGACCGATGCACATATGTGCCTGGTCCTACGTTGTAGCTGACTGACTGAACAGGAGAACCAGGCACCGTATTGGCTTTAACGCTACAATCTGAATAGTACAGCTCAATCCTGTGGCGCAACCACTCAGGTACCAAGCACCCTGGTGGACCAGGAAGAAATAAGCACAAATATATGTCATTCTGATGTATATTTTTCTATGTAATGTAAAAAAAGGAAATACATTTCGTTTCTATACTTTCACCTAGATTAATCAACGAAAAGAAAACGTATTCGTGTGAAAGATTTATTGGGAGTGTTAAACTTTCATAGTGTAATGCATCATGGATTGGTTTTAGTTAGACAGCTATATTGAAAACCAAAAAGCATTGAATAGAATGTTCTCTCTTGTTGGTAGTACGTAATTATCCATAACCTCATATTGCTATGTAGCTCTTTCTAGTTTTCAATAGTTGTCTAACTAAACGACAGTCCATCATGTAGATTCTGGGAAAGTAATTATAGGGGATCTCCAATTAGTTGTCAGTAGGAAAGCTAACAAGTAGGTAATGGTATTGTGTCAAAGATTTCGTAAACAGTGATTAACTGGCTAAAAGAAAACTATTGTGGATCATGTTCGGAAGGTGTGAGCTTGAGATATTTTTCGTCAGAAAAGTATGCACCAACTTGACTACCGTTGTTTCTGCTTTCTTATCTTTAAACGTGGTGTCAAGAAGTTGGCCTACTAATCCAGCAATTCACACTCGACTGTAAAGATCAAACAATATTGTACGACAAATAATCATTCTTCTTGACGTATTTATATATATTCGTCGAACTTCTTCCCCAATAATAAAATTGCTAGCCCCATTAATAACAGAATAAAGACTTTCACTTAAAGGAGAACACTCCGTTGCTAAACTAGCTTATTTCTGTTTCACAAATAACATGTTATCATCAACTGTCTACACCAATTTGGGTGTACGTGCAAAGACATTTTTTAATAAATTATATGTAAGGAAATTATTCACACTAAGAAACAAAACGGTGAACAAATATTCCTTTTCAATCAGCTGCTGTGCATTGTGTTTCTACGATTAAGTGTCCAGTTTATACTATAACAGTAACTTAACATTATCATTATAAGACGTAGGTTGAAATTTTGGTCAGCTAAGTTTTATCGAAGTCTTTCTAGAAACTATTGTTATACAGAATCCTGTATCTACTTGCAGCTTAACCGGTTTCCATTAAAGTAAACAGTTACGTGTTTTCTGTTCATCGAGAGTTGAGTACCCTGTATGGCTAGAACAACATTAGAATTACGTGATATTTCTAGTGAGATTTTCCTTACGACACTCATGCTGAAAGTCAGCAGTTTTTTGCTTAATTTTACCACACACATGAAAGACTTTCGCAACACATCAACTCCTTCATGTACACAGTTACTCTGTCAAATGTGTATCGTGCTTCAAATCACCCATCCCCCCAACGTTGTTTGTACAGTGATACTGGGATCTACATCGTTCCTCTGAAATATGTGTTCTGATGTCCGTTGGTCGTAACCCATACACAAAAATTGATGATCGTTCCTCAAATATACGTGTCAGGCACTACTGTTTCCATGACGGTTAGGTCACATGGCTTCTCCGTAAGAATAAAAATTACGAAACTTTTAATGTTCAGAAACCTCAGGTTTTCGCAATAATCTGTTCTCTGATTTCATCCCAATTTTTACAACCATTCATAAACGAATCCTCATGGTGCTTAAACCATGCATCAAAAGTAATTCCACCTCGATTAAACATAAATTTACTTATCGAATTTGCAATGGTATCCAAAGTCGTAGTCGAACTGGATATAAAGATCATTGAAGATGTCGACATATTCTTGACCAACAATTCAATTAGATCATTTTACTGTTGCTATAAGGATTGCAGACTATTCATTTTATTGATGAAAAATCCACTTTAACTAGATAAAGGAACGTAGATCCGTTTTAAACATAGTCACTAAGCATACTAAAGTACTTGAGACGAACAATTTATCTACCTGTACGGCTCACTAGTTATATACTAGATACCAGCCAGGTTTAATATATCAGGAACCCACACAACTCAAATGAAGAACATGCAATACCTCTGACTAGTACGTAATGTTAACCAACATTAAAGTAAATATAAGGAGTGGGGGAACATATATGGTACATCAAATATCTGTGAGACTATCTACCAATCTGTCTAGAATATTAACCAGTAAATATTTCGTCTCACCCATACAATACAAATCTAAGTCATCAGCATTATCACTGTTCAGCAAGAAATCTCACTAATCTATTAGTCTTCTTTCAATTATTATTTGAGTTTGGCAAGTATCAGAAGTGTACTTCTATATTTGAAAAAAAAGAGCTACTTTGTCGAATTAAGAATGACAACTACAACTCTAGTTGACATTTCGACCAGTCAACAACACCAGTGAAACAGTTTTAATGTCATAATATCATATAATCAACACACCGTGATCAAATATAACCGCCTTTAATAATAAACGATATGTATTTGCTGAAACATGCACAGAGAAGATCAGCTACAACGTCGTATATTTAAAATTTTCGATTTTTACACTTTACAGAAAACATAAAACTGATCAGACGGGCATGTAGAAATCAATTAAGTAGCATAAATTTACTTAAAGCTTCTGACTTTCATATATTTAGTACATTATTCGGTAAAAGTATGACAAGTTCGAATCCCAAGAGCGGAGTCGTGGATACGCATTACTGAGGAAACCCAAACTAGGACGAAACAGCCGTCCAATACTTCCAGGTTTTTCATGGTGAAGCAGCTTTAAATGACTCATGAATTCAACTATTAAATTACTATAATATTCATAAAAACCCCTGTCTGATAGATGCATAATATGCTGACGACCTTGGGCGACTTATCAGACAACCAGGAAACTTTGAATATTTACCAAACAACTAACTATAAATGGCGATAAAATGAGAGTGAAATAACAGTCTTGGTTCAAATAATCAATCAAAAGGAGAAACGTCATTTCCATATATCAAGAGTTCGGATGGTATTCTAAGTGTTTTAACATACAAATCGCCTAAACAGAAGGTATGTTTTGTCGTTTAGGTTAAAAACCATTTTAAATTTACAATTTCGGTTATTGATTCTGGGCATTTCAAGGATTAATTATCATCATCTTAATAACAGTATACAAGTTATCTATCACTACACTTTACAATTCAAGCTAAGTATATACGGAGTTATCTTTGTTCTACTTGGTTAACTCATAGCTATCAATATGTTAGAATTTCATTTATCACATTGACGAACGTTGAACTAAAAAGTGTTGAGACGGCTTCCGAAAACTACAACGAAATCGAAGAGTTCCCATCTAATCAGAACGTAATGGAGCTTTCTAGGATATCAACGTGGCATGTTACCATTAGACATTAGCATTACATGCCTCTTTAAGTGGTGACTGAATTATAGCGTTTTTATAACAAACGCCAATATCTATAAATATGCACGATTTCCCGTACCTTTTGATTCTTACCGAACAAACACTTCTCCAGCTTTCTTCTGTATTCTGACTTTTTTGCGATTGCAGGTTTCTAAACGTTTGAGTGTTGTAGTTGTATTACCGTATTCTGTCTTAATCAAGTAACGAATATAACAGAATAAAGCAGTTTTGCAATTCACTTTCTTTTCAATGTTATTTCATGATGAAATTAATTCTTACTTACTTACGCCTGTTACTCCCAATGGAGCATAGGTCGCCGACCACTCTTCTCTGACCCACTCTGTCCTGGGCATTCCTTTCCAGTTCTATCGAATTTTTCTCATGTCTGTCTCCATTTGTCGACGTAATGTGTTCTTTGGTCTTCCACTTTTCCCTTGACCTTGAGGATTTCATGTGAGGGCTTTGCCGTGTGACGCAGTTGAGTGCTTTGCTCAACGTGTGTCCTATCCCTAACTCCGCCTGGAGCCTATCTGGGGCTACTACCGACTCCAAGCTCGGGTAAAGAACGAGGGTTGGGTATGGAGTTAGCGACCCCATCCCGTAGAAAACTAACTTGCTAAAAAGAAACGCTAACCATAAATTAATTCTATATACAATCAAATGCTTGTATTCATTCATTATATTCATGACCTACAACATTATCTTAATATATCAGATATTGATTCCATTTAAGAATGTACTAATTATTCTATGCAAAATATTCAGTAATATGCATAGAAATTCATTTATTTAAACAACAAAACAAAAGAATAATATTTCTATTTGAGATGAATGTAATACACATTATTATAGTGAATAATGAACATTGAAAAGTCAATATACACAATATATTCAATGTACAATGGTCGTATATACAGACACATACACACACACACGCGCACAGTTTTTTTCTCAAAAGAAATCTCATTTCAGAATGATAAACTACTGTACACAAACAATAGCGTAATAATAATAATAATAAAAGAATAATGTATACATGATGCCAATTATCAACTGTCTTCATCATCATCATCGACCTTCTTTAAACTACCAAATACCGCCAATGGAACAGGTTGATTTTCAATATCAATATCTAAATGTATAGTATGATAAATAAATAAATAGTAAATCTTTTTTCTTTTTTAGATAATGAATATAACAGTCAGTCAGTCAGTAACAACGTAGAATTTCGTATGTACGTACATCAGTTCGAGTTGCCATATCACATTAGCACAGAGATGCAGTGGTCGATTCAAATCCCGTAGTGGTAGAGGTAGCAAGATTATAAGCAGTAATCGGGAAGATTAGGGTTTGGAGATGTTATTTAAAGAGTATAATACAGTGAAATATATTTGGAAAGAGAAAAGAGGAAGGGACATGAAGAATTTAGAAGATTAGAATTTGGAAGAACACAAAGAGTGGATCCACCTGCGCCATTGCAAACGATTTTGAGCTATGAATGAATGAATATAACAACAACATGATAATTTTGTTTGAATATTGTTGAGAATGTTAGATCCCGCCGGAGAACTCACTTGACAACTATTTTATTTTTGTAATTTTATTTTAAACATTTGAATTCCCTTGTTTTCATGCCAAAAACGCTCATTTTCACCTTCATGTTGTATTACTCACTTGGGAGGATCTTAAATGCTATTGGTTTGTTGTATCTTTTAGTATGTGATTTTATAACACATCCGAAGGACAATTTTATGCTGTATATGTATACATTTGATTTGTGCTTCTGGCTACTTGCGGAATATATTTCCGCATTTCGAACCTGGACTTTACTCTCTATTTAGCGGGGATGAGACGCATCAAAATAGCTAGCTTGTTGGTCATTAGTCACAGAGACTTTTTTGTGTTGTCAGACTACGCGAACTTGTAATCGTTTCAAACACAGCAAATATTTAGTGGTAAATAAACATAAAAATCTATTCATTAATTCATTGAGTCAGCTACAACGTAGGACGAGGCACATTTTTGCATCGATCCAAGTTGCCATACCTCATTAGCTAGCACAACAAGATGAACACCGGATTCATAGGATTAGTTAAGTCAATGGTGGTAATATACAAAAGAAAGATCGCATATAATACAGGAAGAAAGAATTAGTTGGTAGAAAGAAAGATATAAAACAATTTTAATCCCATAGGTTAACGGAAGACAGAGAGTATATACATTTACACCATTGTGATCGATTCTGAGCCATGTCACGCGAACCCCAACCAAGTAGTCTGCATTTCCCAACATGGTTCAGACTAGAATTTAGTCACTTCAATGACTGATGCCACGCTTTGGTTTGACCACCCCTAACTTTCTTCCAACCGTCTCTTTCATTAATTACTATTATTGTAATGGAGAAATAAATAAGCAGTTGGAAACAGTAGACATGAAACCTTCAATTCAGATATAAATAAACAACACAGTTCATGCATGAAATTCCGTCCATCAGTAGCCAGTTCCTTTATCTAAGAGTTAATGAGTGAAATAAGACGTGGAATCTTGTGATTAGAGCATGAATTCTACCGAGATTCCGTATATATATATATATATATATATATATATATAATGTTAATGAGGAGTGTCAACTAGCATGAGATCAATCATTTCTCTGCAATTACATCTAATAAATTAACACAAATATTCAACAATTGATTTCAATAACGAACTTACCGTCTGAATGAACTTTTCTTCGTCGTTTATTAGATACTCTACATTCAATATTATCTTTATTTAATGTTTCTTTTAATTCTTGTTCTCCCATTGAATCATCATCATCATCGACCTCCTCCTCTTCTTCTTCATCTTCTCCTTCATCAACATTGATATCAATCTCTTCAATATTAGCACTAGCTTTTTTTTGTTTATCATCTTTTTCATTCATTAAACCTAATTGTTTTATACCAGCGGATTGAAATTGTACCATAGGACGACCACTAGTTAAACTACTTTTGGTACTTATAATATTGATTTCTGTTTGTGATTTATCTAATTTTTGCATTTCATCTTTTGGTACTATACACACACAAATATTGATCGATTATTAAAAAGAAAAAAAAAAAGAAAAGAATAATGATATTGGAATGAAAGTCAATAGTTAATGAATTCTGTCAAGATGATCATAACCGGTATGAATTATATGATACTAGTTGAATAGAATAATGATTATCCTTAAGATGGATTTGAATAGATTCTAATAACAACAGAGAAGATTCACTCAATTCGTGCATTTTCATACAAATTGCATCCTGTTTTCCATTCTTTACTGTTCGATCCTCTCTGTGTGTGTCTCTCTGCTGTCAGACCTTCTGTTCACGACTAACATCATTCACTACTTATGCCAATATAAGTAGCACACACTACATTAGTTCATCAACAGCTACAAAACAATGCAGTATCTACTCCGAAAGAATAATACAATAATACAGTGTAGTGGAAGTAAAACGAAAAAATGATGAAAAGTATAAAGTATACGGTTTATTTATCTGTTATTATCCTGATGAGAATAATGAATAGTAACTGTGGGAATCTATTTCTCGATTAATTGTTAAGTAACTAACCTGTTAATATTCATGTTCTTCTTATTATAAGCTTTATTTTGACCTATAAACTATATTATTATACGATTTACCATACTTGAGTTATGTCCAGTCTATCTATTACTATCTCCCACATTCACAGATACTTCTGGTTAATTCTTATACAAATGTTGTTCCTTATTATATGGTGTGATGTGGTCTGTTTGATTGGTATATAAATGCGGTATGTTTAAAATACATGATTCATATCACACAGCCTGAGATTGGTGTTCTGGACTCTAATAGGTAGGGTTAGGCACGAAGAAGAACGGATAAGGACTCTAAACTGCTCGTACGGGTTCATTGGCCCAGTTGATAAGTCACAGATCGCTATTTGGCCGTATCACTACGTTATACATTAATAGGGCACAAAGCCACAAGTTATAACAGTTGAGAGTAGATGGTGGTTGGAGATAGTCGACTGGAAACCGTGAACTTGGGTTTCGTGATACTTGGCACTCGTCAGCAAGGTGTACCTGTAATCTTGAGGGAACTGGTGCTCCCTGGCGGATTCGATCTCGTGTCACCCAGCTTCACAGTCAAAGACGTTACCACTGAGCTATCCAAGTGTCGAGTCACCTAGACTGGTGGCCACATTGCAACATTATCGATTGCATTCGATCTGCACTAATAAGGACTAGACACGCATGACATTGATCACCACCCAGTGATCAATCAATTGTGAAATTATAACAGTATCCGTGACATACTTTATTATTATTATTAACGGTTTTATTCAGTATAACAATAAGACAGTGGCACAGTATTTCCAAGATATTTGATGATTTCATATTTCCAGTTTATTTATTCCACGAAAGCTAACAAGTTGAACATTAATTTTTTAATATTTCAATACAGAAAAAAATTAGGTTAATTCATGAATTGAAATAACTCCGCCTGTAGCTCTTATAGGGTTGCTGCCGGTCCCAAGCCCGGGTAAAGGAGGAGGGTTGGGCATGGGGTTAGCGTCCCCATCCCGTAGAAAACTAACTCGCTAAAAAAACACTTACCAGAAAAAATAATCCAAACCATGAATTGAAATATTCCACAAACATGTACATATATTATAGAGTCATTTTAGATGGAGTTTTGTTCTCTGAACTAAAGGGCTTGATCATGGTGCTTTCATTGTTCTTCTGAACAATGTCACCGGTATAAAGATCAGGTAAAAAAAAGCTCCACGACCAACCATCCAGCTCATAGAACAAAGCTCTAATTAAATCATCACACCTGAGCCACAAATCTTCTCCATCATTTAAAATATTGTAAGTAGAAAAATGAATTAATTGAATTATTAATATTATTTAAACACATAAACATTGGTACAAGAGGACACCAATTAGATATGCACCACATAAATCATTCGATTTATGTAAGTGCTGTGATGCTGCCCAGGTGCCCAAACCGAACCATATGGTTTTCTAAGGAAGCCACACTCGGAGCCTTCGACATAAAGGTCTGATCTACAGGGCAGTGAAGCAACGTAAGGAGATGCAGCCCCACGGTAGCAAGTGACCAATAAATGGTTCATACGCCATTTGTTCCTTCACGATACTAGAGCCCATGTGTACCATTGGTTTGGAATTGTGGTTTTGCAACTCCCCTACGTGGGTCCTCCATATCCACCAACCCAGTTTAAGCGCTCGACATTTGCGTTTTGTCCTCTCAATTTCATATACAACACCGGTACCGCGAGAAGGCAGTGAGTAGGACTTCCCTGTCAGTGGTTGTATATGCGTGTCTATGTGAGAACATTTGAAGAGTAAGAGCTGACTCTTCCCGCTCTTGGACGTATCAGGGCATTTGAGGAAATGAAGTATTTATGCACATAGTATTATCTTAATCTGGATTAGTAAAATAAATTCATATTCACTATATACAAATAGTGAAAATATCCAAGTAAGCTAAAGTTTGCATTCTGAAATTATAGGACATAAATTATGCTATTAGAATATTAGATGAATGTGTCAAGTTTACAAAACTAGTAGACTTTATTAGACTATTTAAAGATCTAAGAAATGCTCTGTATGATAACAAATACGGTTATAACGAAAGTAGAATTTGATTTTAAGTAGATGAAGGTAAATAAGAAGAAGCTTTGTAATAGTAACATCGTGGTGTGTGCTGCTCATGTCGACAAATATAAGTAGTATATATTATTAATCAAAAGTGAAATATCTGGTAGTAGAAGAAGGTTAAGAAGATTGAAGGAAACAGAACAAGAACAGAGAATGATTGGTGCGACAACGAAAGAACAATGAATTCTGAGATGGTTGATTCACAATTTACAAAAGGAATAGTCAAGTTTGAAACAATTGATTGATATTATACAAATGAAGAATTTACTGTATGGTTGGGTCTCAGATATTTACTAAGATGTTCTGTAATTTTTTGTTCAAATACATTCGATTAGTACCATCCACCCACCCCCCCACTTGTATTCTCATTCACTACAACATCTATGAATGATACGCATTTCAACATCTTAAAAAGAGCACTAGATTCTTTTCCACTTTAAAATTTTAGACAAGATAAACTGATAAATGCCCTTTAGCTTGTTTCTAACCGCTTCTAATAACCAACAATCAAAGTAAAATATAAGAAATGTTATTTTAATTGAACTAGTAAAGATATCTTATATCTTCATCGAAAGAATTTAATTATAATTTAGGATTAGATAAGTACAACTATTCAACAATCAATCACACTGTTCTGAATGAACTTAGCAAAAACCAATATTACTTTTATAGTTCATAAGTCAATTCAAGTTAGACCACCAAGGAAAACCTGGAAGCACTGGACGACCATTTCTTCTTAGCATAGGACTCCTCAGCAGTGCTCATCTACGATTCCGCTCGTGGGATTCGAACCCAGAATCTATCGGTCTCTTGCACGAACGCTTAACGTCTAGACCACTAAGCCGGCATCTAAAGGTGTTAACGTCTAACTTCAACCAATTCTATTGTGGATGCGCACTACTGAACAGTCCCAGCCGTCCAGGGTTTCCAGGCTTTCCACGGTGGTCTAGGCTATAATTGACTCATGAAGTCAATTATAAAATTACCAAAATCTCTAAAAAAATCCACTTCTAATAAAAACCAATGTATATGATGTACTACTGAATGAATCGAGGATAAGACAAATCCATTATGAAGTATCATGAAAGAGAAAGAAAAAACAAATTATTCACCATTTGTTGTTGGATTTTCTTCATTCAATTGTAATTGACTTGCAACAAAACTAACACGTGTATTATAAGTTGCTTGTACACTACGTCGAATTCGTAACATTTCACGTAGAGTATCTTCATTACCATGTGTTACTTCAAATTCTTTCCATATTTGCCAAAATTGTGTTTCGGTCTATATGAAGAAAAATGAGGGAAATAATTATGAGAAATGTGGTAGAAGAGGTCAGAGAACGTCTATCCAAAGTATACAGTCATCCTCTTAAAGTATCATTGTGGATAGTATTGACTAAAGCAAAATGATACAATAACTGTATAATTAAATGGTTTACACAGAACTGATTCATCTGTAAAGAGTTTCTATCATAGAATACTCATATACATATGTTCATTACAGGATCCGGAAAATATAAGTTTAACAAGTTTTGTAACTATTTTCGTTCAGTCTTCCATGAACTGAATCTACTTGTAAACGGATATTATTGTCTCATCACTTATTTATCTTCACATTCTGCTACACAATAAGACCTATTTACACGATGCCAACGTTACTTTAGGGATATAACACCATGAATGAAGCGGCTTACACTTCAAACCTCAGTGATCTGAAACTTTCAAATACATTTGACTAGTTCACAGACAGTGGTTCATGAAAGTACGTAATTTTACAGAAATAAATATGTGAATTTAAACAATACATATATCAAATGTTTTAAGAAGTTAAGGTTTAGAATGGCATACATTCATTTAGGCATCAATCGAAAACATTATTATGTCAGTTTCACAATCGCTTGGTAGTTTCATTAAGAAGAATTATAGTTAGGTACATGTAAACTTTTCAGATTGTTAACTATATCAACAAAAAGTATCACAGTCCTCATAATCAGGAAATAAATCATTAATTCATTGACTAGTCAGTTTTACCATAAAAATAAACAATAAACGGTCATAAACTACTCATAAAATAATCAGTAGTATGTTAATCATATAAATATTTTGCACTGTTTTTTACCCGAGGATCACACATTTGTGCACAATAAGCATAAACAGCTCGTGCTCGATCGATTTCACCTAATTTTCTTTCAAGATCAGCAAATCTTAAACACATTTTACGCGAATGTTCTTCAGGTAAACGTTCTATTGCTTGTTCATACGCTGAACGTGTATGCGTAACACCATGAAGATCGGCAATACGTTGAATATAGATATTGAACATCTGTAAATAATTTTCAAAACAACAATACAAAAATTATGTAACAACTGTCAATGAATGCTTGGATTAGAAGAGATACTTTTTAATATAAACTACCACTAACTGAGGAATCACTTAAAACAATGGTGTAAAACTACACAGCAGTGAGTAAACAACCGGACCAATTTGGAATTGAAACCAATGTCGTCTATGATATGAAAATTTAGAACACAGTGTCGGAATTTAATAGTTTATATTTCTAAATTCATCCAATTCACAATATAGCATGATTGCAATCTATAGCTATCAGTGGAAATTGTCTCTATATCTCTTACTTCTTGGAGAAATGGTTGATATTATAGTTCCTGCTTTCGCATTAAAATCTCCGGTTTCATCTAGAATCCGATTAGTTACTCAGTAACCAAGCACAAATGTTCACATAATCAGATTTCAGTCACATATATTTTGTGATTGTTAGTGAAACGACGCCGGTACCAGAAGAAAAACCCAGGTAAAGTGCAGTTTAAGTATGCACTTAAACTTTAACCTTGATGTTACAGTTGCAAGAACTTGTAGATAAGTAATCAAATCTTTTGTGAAACCATAGATAGACGTGATTAGATAGTCCCAAAATGAAATTGATTGAATTATTTTGACTATTAATTAGTCTTCCATGACCTATTTAACATCAACTTGTAATGAAAATTATTGATAAAATTTTGATGGAGTTTTGTTCTCTGAGCTGGATGGTTTGGTCGTGGAGCTTTCATCGTTCTTCTGAACGACATCATCAGCACAAACTTCAGATAGAAGTGAAGTGTTCGATTTTCTCCATATGTGTTTCACAGCTTGTTCTGTGCACCTCGATGTTGATTGGTTCTTGTTGACCTTAAATTTATCATTGTTCACTTCTTTGTTTTGGTTGTGTCTCCCATTGTTTTGATTTTTGTTCTTATATATATGCATGATTTTCCTGATTGGTTGATAAATTGGATTGATTTCAATATGTTTGTTGATTGCTGATTGACCTGAGTGCCAGGCTTCTAGAAATTCTCTGGTGTTTTTGGAGTTTCCTCTGTCTAAGATTTCTACATTTTCCCAATCGAATGAGTGTCCGTAGTTATCCACGTGTATTGAAATAAGTGAAGAGATATCATGGCGTTTGACTGCTAATTGATGTTCATGTAGGCGTAGGTGGAGGGGGCGTCCGCTTTGTCCGATGTAGTGTTTGTCGCAGTTGGTACAATTTATTTTGTAGATAATGTTTGATTTGTTCTCCTTTGTTATTTCATCTTTTGGTTTGCATAAGATTGATTGTAGTGATTTTGTTGGTTTGTGTGCAACACCTATCCCGAAGGTTTTCAGCAGTCTCGTTGCAGTTTCTGATATTCCTTGTATGTACGGTAGGGTGATCCTTTTACTGATTTTTGTGCTTGACTTGGGTTGTGATGCTGTGTGCCGTTGGTGCTTTTTGATGAAATTGATTGGGTAGCCGTTCTTTTGGAATATGTCCTTCAGGTATTTCTCTTCATTTCTTCGTGCTGCCAGTGTGCTGCAGTGTGTTCTCGCCCTCTTGAACAATGTGTGTACGCAGTTGATTTTGTGAGCCCTTGGGTTGTTGCTGTTGTAGTTGAGAATTTGATCTGTATGGGTTGGTTTCCTATATACTTGAGTTTCCAGTTTTCCTGTATCAGTTCTAGTGATCAATATATCCAAAAAAGCTAGTTGGTTGTTTGACTCCTGTTCCATTGTGAACTTGATGTCATTGAAGACGTTGTTGATCAATTTGTATGTGTTTTCCAGTTCATCCTTTTTGACGATGACGAAGGTGTCGTCTACGTAGCGAATCCAAATTTTTGGTTTGATCACTGGTAATATCGTGGCTTCTAGTCGTTGCATCACTGCTTCTGCGATCAGTCCTGATATTGGTGATCCCATTGGTGTCCCTTTTGTTTGTTTGTAGATTTTGTTGTTGAATTGAAAATATGTCGTAAGGCATAAATCGATGAGCTCCAGTAGACTTTGAATTTGAAGCGTCGTGTATTTGGTGAGATTTGTGTCGTTGTTGAGTAGCAGGGATATAGTTTCTTTTGCTAACTGTGGTTCAATTGAGGTGACCAGTGGACCAGTACTCCCTCGATTCTACGGCAGGCCCAAAATACACAAACCGAACATTCCACTACGTCCAATAGTAGCACTCCCTGGAACGCCAACGTACAATTTATCAAAAGAAATTTCACGAATACTGAGACATCTAGTAGATTCAGCCAAACACTCCATCAAATCCCCAACACAATTCTTGGACCAAATTAGGGACATTCAAATCAACAACGACGAACTCATGATATCCTTCGACGTAACAGCACTGTTCACCTCAATTGAACCACAGTTAGCAAAAGAAACTATATCCCTGCTACTCAACAACGACACAAATCTCACCAAATACACGACGCTTCAAATTCAAAGTCTACTGGAGCTCATCGATTTATGCCTTACGACATATTTTCAATTCAACAACAAAATCTACAAACAAACAAAAGGGACACCAATGGGATCACCAATATCAGGACTGATCGCAGAAGCAGTGATGCAACGACTAGAAGCCACGATATTACCAGTGATCAAACCAAAAATTTGGATTCGCTACGTAGACGACACCTTCGTCATCGTCAAAAAGGATGAACTGGAAAACACATACAAATTGATCAACAACGTCTTCAATGACATCAAGTTCACAATGGAACAGGAGTCAAACAACCAACTAGCTTTTTTGGATATATTGATCACTAGAACTGATACAGGAAAACTGGAAACTCAAGTATATAGGAAACCAACCCATACAGATCAAATTCTCAACTACAACAGCAACAACCCAAGGGCTCACAAAATCAACTGCGTACACACATTGTTCAAGAGGGCGAGAACACACTGCAGCACACTGGCAGCACGAAGAAATGAAGAGAAATACCTGAAGGACATATTCCAAAAGAACGGCTACCCAATCAATTTCATCAAAAAGCACCAACGGCACACAGCATCACAACCCAAGTCAAGCACAAAAATCAGTAAAAGGATCACCCTACCGTACATACAAGGAATATCAGAAACTGCAACGAGACTGCTGAAAACCTTCGGGATAGGTGTTGCACACAAACCAACAAAATCACTACAATCAATCTTATGCAAACCAAAAGATGAAATAACAAAGGAGAACAAATCAAACATTATCTACAAAATAAATTGTACCAACTGCGACAAACACTACATCGGACAAAGCGGACGCCCCCTCCACCTACGCCTACATGAACATCAATTAGCAGTCAAACGCCATGATATCTCTTCACTTATTTCAATACACGTGGATAACTACGGACACTCATTCGATTGGGAAAATGTAGAAATCTTAGACAGAGGAAACTCCAAAAACACCAGAGAATTTCTAGAAGCCTGGCACTCAGGTCAATCAGCAATCAACAAACATATTGAAATCAATCCAATTTATCAACCAATCAGGAAAATCATGCATATATATAAGAACAAAATCAAAACAATGGGAGACACAACCAAAACAAAGAAGTGAACAATGATAAATTTAAGGTCAACAAGAACCAATCAACATCGAGGTGCACAGAACAAGCTGTGAAACACATATGGAGAAAATCGAACACTTCACTTCTATCTGAAGTTTGTGCTGATGATGTCGTTCAGAAGAACGATGAAAGCTCCACGACCAAACCATCCAGCTCAGAGAACAAAACTCCATCAAAATCATCCACCTGAGCTACAAATCTTCTCCACCATTGATAAAATTTATTAAAATCAATTCGGAATCCAGTAAATTACATGATAATGTGATAGTTTCATCAAAAAAAGGATTCACCTCAAATCTTTCTTCTGGAAGAACAGCTTCTGTAGCTCGTTCATAAATACGAATAGCACGACGTGCAAGTCCATGTTGTTCTTCAAGTCGTGCATACAATAAATGTAACGCTAAAAAAACATACATCCATAGATAAATTAATGCATTTTTTTTAAAAAAAAATCATCAGACAGAATTATAACCATAGATACAACATTTCACTTGAACATAATATTACCAGTTACTAATGAAAAAATCCAAAAGAATTCCGTCTTATCTATGACTTTATGGTAAGATCGGATCCATCCAAGTTTATCAAACGATGTACAACACTTACTTACAAACCTGTTACCCGTCGTGTAGAAGCATAGGCCGGCCCACCAGTATTATACATTAAACTCTGTCTTGGGCAATCCTTTCCAGTTGCTATCCATCCTTTTGATGTCTGCTTCCAATCTCCGATACAGTGCGTTCTTAGGCCTTTCTTTTTTCCGTTTTCCTCCAGGATTACAAGTTAGCGCTTGCCACGTAATGCAGCTTGGTGACTTCCACTTTCAGCGTGCAGAGTATCTGCGCCTATGTATATCCTATGAGAGTCAGATCGGTTGGATCTGTGTCTTTCGGGTATATACACGACGTATATCTACATAAAAACAGAAACTATTAAGGGGACTGGATTCACGCCTACACATGTGCTTTGGAGTACATGGTTCCCCTGACCTGTGTATTCCAGATGCGCATGTAATGTGTAAAACCCTTCCACTGGGATTTAAATACTAACAAGTAGTAGGTACCGATGAATGGAAATGGAGACCGTCTATCCCACCACAATAGTACCTATACTTGTGTTTATGCCTAATTTTAAAATTTTGCCAAAATGCTCATCCATTTCCTAATTTATTCATCACAAATAATAATAATCATTGGTGAATCTCCCGTGTATTTAATCATTTTAGTTTATTTCTTAATCACGTTGATGGATACTTCGGATACACATTGACCGATACTAAATTGGCTTATTGTATGATATCTAGCATATATGGACATTTTTTGTCAATTTAATGTGCATAATGGAGGGTAATTTTCATTAAAGATTTGAAATCGATTATCTGAAGCAATACATAACTATCTGAAATGAATATATCCAGTGTAGTGTAGTGTAACCCAACACCTTGGTAATGAATGGAAATATAGGCCATAATAGTAGTATGGATGAAATTTAGTGTTCTCTTTCATACCTTTAGCATATTTCGGTGGACATTTCTCTAAACATTGTTCAAATAAATCACGAGCACGTTCCAATTTATTTCCACCCTATATATAGTGATGATAAATACAATGATTTAGAGTTATTACCAGTAATTAACATCAATAAATAAACAATAAAAAAAATGTTTATCAATAAGAATTTTGTCATCCTTTTTGCATACTTAAAAGTGTCAGGAAATCAGTGTCATAGACTAACTTCTTGTTTGAGTCATATTAGTAAATGTACACTACTTTGTTGGAGTCCATGTAACTATCGTACCTAATGGTTGGAGACTCTAAGTGACACAGCTCAGAAGCGATCACCCTCGCGTAATTAATATAGACTCGTTGTCTTCCCTTAAACCATGAGATTAAAATTGCTTTATATCTTTCTTTCTACGAACTAATTCTTTCGCCTGGTATCATATCTTTATATGAAATCTTTTTTTTTTACTACCATTGAAGTAACTGCTTCTGTGAATTCAGTGTTTATCTTATTGTAATGAGTTATGTCAACATGAACCAATGCATATATGTACGTAGCTCTACGTTGTTCATGACTGACTGAATGTCATACACAATGTAGAATCTAAAGCAAATATTGTAGAGCATTAGATCAGCACAAAGAGTGAACAGCTTTAAGAAAACACTGATCGAAGCAAAAAAATGTTAACAAAAGTTACTAATCATAGCCTACAATGATCTGATAAAAGTTAAGCACAAATTCTAGATCTTAGCACAATATAATTAATATCCTTATAGATTGATATTATTTCTTAATTTTAGTTGTATATAGCCCTGTTTTTCTAACCTATTCTAAATCTTTTTTATAGTGTAGTAAAGATAGAAATAGAAAGGTGGTTAGAGATAAGTATTGCACGAGTAAAATTGTTTTCAAGTACAGTTCACTTGTGATAGAGCTAATAAGTGAGTAATTCTTAAGAAGAGAACAGAACTTTTCAGTACAAGCATATAATTAATATCAAACTATGAAAGCTAAGTTTCTTTTTGAAGATAAATGTGTTTATTTTATTATTATTTGAACATATAAATATTGGTACAAAGGGGAACCGAATAAATATGCGCCACACAATTCACTTGATTTGTGTGTGGGCTATGATACTACCCGGGTACCCAGACCGAAGCACGTGGTTTTCTTAGGGAGATACACTCAGAGCATTTCACCCAAAGGTCTAATCCACAAGGTAGTAGAGCAATGTCAGGAGATGCAGTTACACGGTAGTCGGTGACCAACAATTGGTTTATACACCATTTGTTACTTCAGGACACTGGATCGCATGGGCACCAATGTTTTGGAGTCTGGGTTTTCCAACTCCCATAGGTCCACCCTCAATATATAGACCAACTTGAACATTCACTATTCATTCTCTCAATTCCGTAAACAACACCGGTGCCGCGAGAAGGCAGTAAATAGAGAATTCCTGTCAGTGGCTGTATACACGTGGTCATATGGGAGCATTTGGAGAGGGAGGACAGACTCTCCTCACTCTCGGCCGTACCAGGGCATTTGGTTTTATACTCATCCATTTGACTGCAGGATTTTTGCTGCTACATATTTCTCTGCCCCCAAAATTATTGTCTACTAATCATTAGCCTAATTATTTTTAATTTGTACTGTTAATGTTTTATTTAGGCATAGTTCTCTTCAGTGATATTACCCTAATTAGTCTTTCTACATAACAAAGACCTTTCATTTTAATACACATGTTATTATAATCTTCTGAGGATATCAAGATAATTTTCCACAGTAATTTTCATATCAACTAGACAAATTATTATAACCCTTCCCTTTACAAAAGATCCTAGTTAGTTGTTGTTTAATATGACGATTAAAGTGTGAACACTACAAAGAAGTTGCACACTGAAATGAGACAGCTTATCCTTGGCTTTTACTAATTCTTTAGTTGTTAATATATATATATATATATACTCAACACAGCAAATACTTTTTACATTATACTGATGTACTAATGCAAAAAACTTACGTAACGTTCAATAAACTTAGACAAATAAGTAGCCCATATATCGTAAACATTTGGCCAACGAAATAATGCAACACCTTTTTCATATGCCTTTGAGAAAACAAAAACATGTATAAGGAAAACAAACATTATTTGCATAAACAAAATATAACAAAACATAAGTTAAATAGATGGGTTGCATGCTAACAATGAATAATTTAGGACATATATTTCGTCCTATTTTATTTATTTATTTTAACATATAGATATTGGTACAAGGAGGCACCAAATACATATGCACCACACAAATCTCATTCGATATGTGTGAGGGCTGTGATACTGCCTGGGTGCCCAAACCGAAGCAGGTAGTTTTCTTAGGAGACCACACTCGAAGCCTTCGACCTGAAGGTCTGATCCACAAGGCAGTGGAGCATCGTAAGGAGATGCAGTCACATGGTAGCCGGTGACCAACGATTGGTCCATACGCCATTTGTTCCCACAGGATACTGGAGCCCATGTGCATCGTTGGTTTGGAATCCGGTTAAAGCGCTGGACATTCGCTTTTCGTCCTCTCATTTTCGTAAACAACACCCCCGCCACGAGAAAGCAGTGAGTAGGACTTCCCTGGCAGAGGCTATATACGCGTGGCCATGTGAGAGCATTTGGGAGTCATAATTGACTATACGGTTATGATTAAGGTAGAAAGTTTGTATAAATGGTTCAAAGGTATTTTTCATCGTAGATTGAAATCATTTTAAGAATTACTGATAACGTAGTTACTATGATGACACGGTAGTCAGTTTTAAAAAAAGACGTCGTGAATCAGCCAAGGTATATTGGCTGAAAGGCATATTTCTTTGAGCCTTAACATATTAGCCATGCTGGTTTGAGAGCGGTAAGTCTATAAGTAGCGAACTCGTGGTTCAAGGGGAAGGTTACATTACAGACTATAGAGTAGTGTGACGGCAATGAGATTTCTCTCAGATAACCGGCACTAGAAGCAATACTTTCTCCCCATTTCAGAGGGAAGAAGTTACAAAAGGTCAACCCTGAAAATAGAGCATTTCACTTTGCCCCACGAGTGTCCGTCTCCGGTGGTAAGGTTTTAAAAGTATAGAACTAACACATCTATAGCTACTGACAAAAATGCCGTGTGTGACCGGCCTCAAGTAGCCGACCTTGGGACATTGTATTTATGCTCTCAAATCACCAAAAACTACCCCCTAACCCAATTTTTTCAGCCCCATCAAGTATCGTTTAATGCTGTTGGCAACCGGGACGTAAAAAGCACTTTCATACCCATAACAGCACTTTAACAGTAGACAAGTACCCCCTACTCTAATAGCACTTACCATTACTGCTTACATTCATCGTTCAACCTACCATTTGAAGTAGGAAGAAATGCTTTTGCCGTTTCTATTATGTTGTCTAATCAGTAAAAAATTTTAAATGGGATTAAACTCAAGTGCTGGAAGTACAAAGAAGTTCAACCTGAAGGACAGCGAGAGATATAATATTATTTAAACATTCTTACTGAACAAAAAAATCAACTATGAATATGTATTATGCAAACAGAGATGGTTTAATTTTATAACTAATCAAAGTATTCAACAATCCACATTAAAAAAGTTGATGAATAAGGCTTCAAAACTATGACCAAATTATCTTAAGTTCAATGCCTTAATCATTAAATTATCAAGTAAATTTGTTATCCAAATATAGTTTAACAGTTCAACTTCATAAATCATTTCACCTGCCACGAATTATAAAGTCAAATAGTATCAGTATCTAGTAGATATGTATGCAAAACAAGAATACTTGATCACTAGTAAGAGTATACCAATATGTTAAAAGTTATAAACCCCTCAACACTTAACTAAGTAAATAGGAAACTACAACCTTTCTCACTTCAACTAACTCATTTAAGAAAACCGATAAGTAAGACACAAACTCTCAAACACCGAAAAATGTAGTTTAAATTGGAGTTCACATACAAAGTTTGTATCTATGCTAGATGGGTTATATGTTATTTACCGAATTAAGTAAATTCATCACAGTTTTACGCATCAAACTAAACATACTCAAGTATGTTGGTTTGTTTGAAGCAATCCGTAGAAACCTGTTTCACGTAGGTTCCATGTTAACTAGCATTCGTTGGTGGAAAGATGTACCCACAATTTCAAAGAAATCAGTACAGTCCGTGTGATTGGAACCCATTTTGATCAGTTTCACAGCCTAAGATATTATGACTCAGTTATTTAGGCTACAGTTGATCTCCATCATGAGAGATATATACATCAATCAGTCAACAAGAGTACCAATAATAACCAACTATGCACAATTTAGAAGAACACTATTTAACTATTGTGGAACAATATACCAATCAGACTAATCATAGATATACACAATATGGGAAAAAAAGTGAAACACATAATCACTATGAATATTTTCAACTAACTTTAAAAGCATCTTCAAAATAATTTAATTCTTCCAGGAATAATGCATAATTCATAATAATTTGAGGAGTTGCTATACGTAAATCAATCATTCGATCATAGGCAGCCTATGAGTATTACAATAAAGAGAATAATTAAATAATGATTATGCTAATTAAATAATCTTCCTATAGAAAAACAGGTTTCATTTGTTGTAGAAAACAAAAATGTTTTTTAAGGCGTTGATTGGATATAGTCGATGAAAAACCCCGGACCTCGGTTTCACGCCTTTTTGCACTCTTCATGTGTATAAAGTCCAAAACCTCCGGGGAGCATCAGTTCCCTCAAGATTACAGGTTTACCTAGATGACGAGTGCTGAATGGTATGAAGCCTAGGTTCAGGAGTTTCTGACGACTACCTCCAATCAACAACTTATATCTCAGCATAATGGATGTAATCCCGAGTCGCTTAAACTAGTGGTCGAATTGCAATTTGACCGATTAGTGCTGACGGAGTTGAAATAAATAACACTGGTCACCATTCAATGACTAATCAATTGCAAGCAAGCATATATATTTCACAATATCTAATGTTTCCTATTTGTGTAATCCAACTCGGATAATATGGAATAGACAGAATTTGGCTGGTAACAGAATCCAAGTTAGGCGTTTCAACTTATTTGGGACTCGTCAGCTAGATTTATTAGTATCCCAGGGTTGATGTCCATTGCGGGATTCGGACCCAGTAATCATCACTTTACACACTAACGCATGATCAACTTGGTTACTATGCCAATTCAAATTTATCAAAACTCGATAAAAATCTCAACAACAGAATAATCCAAGTCAGATCAACTGGAACGATGTTCTTTATTACATTTGGATAAAATTCAGAATGACGATTTTAACATAAGCTTAGCTTATATTGGAATAAATATATAAGAATAGTTAAATCAGTTTTTTAGAAACATTAACTTTTAAGGTAAGTAAATATGGGTTTTTAGGACAAATAAACAAACGAAATCATAAGAACTGTGGATACAATCAAGTAACGTAAATCATTCGTTAGAATATACACAACTATTATAATTATAGAGTTAGATGAAACTCAGATATTTCTTATTGTTTAATCAACCGAATAATACCACCAATAGACTTCGAATATACGTATAGTATGACACGAAGCCATGTACTTGGTGTATTCATCTTTTCGAAACGGTAGTTTAGTTATTAAGGCGTATGACTTTTAGTCTCTGAGCAACAGGACCAAACTCAGCTCCATCTATTTTCGTTTTAATCACATGGATAGTATCCCTAGCCATCACCTTCATAGTGTAGCTCAACACCAAGCTCACTAATCTGTACCTGATAAATAAGTTAAATTGTATTCATTGTTAAAGATAACAAGTGAATAACTCCAAGAGTACCAAAGAACTGAATACTACCTCAGTCAGTTAGTTGTGAACTAATTTTCTACAAAATACTACCGGTATATAAAAAGATCACGCGAAAGGTGTTGCTAAGATAACAACAAGATACTGTTACAAGTTATTTTTTTTTGACAACAAAAAACCAAACATTGTAAATCATAAGACTCTTGAAGTATATTCGATGAATAAGTTGTCAAAAATTACTTTAATAAAGTATATACCTAGAACATCTCAACTTGCTTTAACTTTATTACGGATATTCAGCCATCATTGACTATCCACAGCTACTAATAAGGATAGCATACAAGTGAGATAACAAAACAGCAGCACTGATGGAGGTCAACCTATAAAATAACGGTGGTCTATTAAAATCTTTGCCAGCTAAATCGAGTCTTGTAGAGACTGGCAGAATTTCTGGTTGAGGTTCATACAAGAATACTAAATGTTTAAACTAACCAAGCTAAAAAGACTCATCTTGAGACAAAAAGTTCTAGGCTACTTATCTCTATTGATTGCATTCCTTAAATCGGTACTTAAATTTACAGTTGTTATAAGTAAACTAACATACTAGTTATTTTAGTTAGATACTTTGTATTATAAAGAAATAGTCAGTATTTACCTTTGTTGTTTCAAATGTACCAAAACTTTCTTCTAAATCCGTATACAACGACCAAAGACGTAAAGATTTATGGAGTCGTGCTTGAACAGGTTCTGAACGATCATAATAATCGACTTTACGTGATGGTGCAGTAGTAGCTTTCCCTAACAAACGAAGTGCTGTTTCAGGTTGACTTATTTTTAAAGGGGAAAAGAGATAATAATCATTGGTTCGATTAATACTACTATGAATAACATATGTAATAAGTAGTAAAAATGAATACAATAAACGTTTTAAATACCAAGAGATTAAAGATGAAATTAGGTATGCGATATTAGACAAGAAATGCCAATTTGACTGATGGTAAAACTTTAAAGCTCTTCGCCATTTAAAGTGATTATGGTCATGAATTATGTATACTTAGTCACAGCCTACCCTAGCTGAGATTGTAGCATCCTTATATTACTCTACTTACTTATTTATTTTAACACATAGATATTGGTACAAGGAGGCACCAAATACATATGCGCCACACAAATCTCATTCGATATGTGTGAGGGCTGTGATACTGCCTGGGTGCCCAAACCGAAGCAGGTGGTTTTCTTAGGAGGCCACACCCAGAGCCTTCGACCTAGAGGTCTGATCCAGAAGGCAGTGGAGCATCGTAAGGAGATGCAGTCCCATGGTAGCCGGTGACCAACGATTGGTTTATACGCCATTTGTTCCTTCAAGACACTGGAGCCCATGTGCACTATTGGTTTGGAATTGTGGTTCTTCAACTCCCCTAGGTGGACTCTCCATATCCACCAACCCGGTTAAAGCGCCGGACATTCGCTTTTCGTCCTCTCATTTTCGTAAACAACACCCCCGCCACGAGAAGGCAGTGAGTAGGACTTCCCTGGTAGAGGCTATATACGCGTGGCCATGTGAGGGCATTTGTAGAGGGAGAGCGAACTCTTCCCACGCTCAGCCGTACCAGGGTATTTGAGGGTAAATCTATCCTTGTTTAAACAAGTAAATAGCCTGGTAAACAAGTATATCATAATTTAGATTCTGTTAATTATTTTGTGTTTGTTCAAATGATTATTTGTTAAATTTTGTTCGTGTATATTCCCTTATCTACTATCTATTAAGTATTTGCATGAACTTATGTAATAATTCACATACTGATTGATTAGTCTGATAATCCGAAAAAAACACCGCACAGTTGACTGTTAATTTACTTCTCTTACCCTACAATTTTGATTGTTGGATTAATCTACATACAACATACCAAGTGATACGTATACGCTACATTTGCTTTCTTCCTGAGTGGCATATACTCAATACGCTCCTGTGAAATATATTACTACCAAATATTTCACATTGTGATCTCTTTATTTCATAAAAGATAACTGGTATGGCAAGTCGAACTGATGTACGTATGTACGTAGTTCTACGTTGTTACTGACTGACTGATATTATTATTGAGGTATTCATAGAATAATAATAACTTATATTTGAAAACGTTGATTAACATTAGTTCAGAATCGGTCACAGTAATGCAAAAGCATCCACGCTTAATAGTCCTCTAGCATTCCAGAGTTCATACATATCTCTCATTGGCATTATTACTGCAATTATTTCGGACCCCGTTGTCATTCATCTTGTCATAGCAATTTGAGTCAACTCACATTTGTGCCAAGCTCTACAATGAACATGACTTAAGATTGTAGTAAAAGAGGTGAACGCATTCAGACATACGTTTATGACAACTTCGAGAGCTGGCTAAGACTTCTGAGATATAATACATTTTTGTAACTGAATAAATATTCCAGTAGAATTTTTAGGCCTATTTGAAATGTGTTTTTACAGCGTTATTTAAAACTTTTGTACAGGATCATGTATTCCGCTCGAGTTACAACATCGTATGTATGATGATTAGTAGTGATGCCATAGGGTAGCTTGAAAAGAAATTGTTAAAATGAAGTCCAAACCTCCACTGATTATATACCAAGAGCAGGAATTATAAAGTAAAAAAGGTCTACAAAGTCCAAATAGTAACAGTGTCCATGGTTGTTCTAAATGAAACAAAAATCATAACGAATGTCCGGCCCTTTAACCGGGTTGATGGAAATGGAGAGTTCACCTAGGGGAGTTGAAAAACCACAATTCCAAACCAATGGTACACATGGGCTTCAGGATCATAAGGAAACAAGTGGCATATGAACCAATCGTTGGTCACCGGCTACCATAGGATTGCATCTCCTGACGTTGCTCCACTGCCTTGTGGATTAGACCTATAGGTCAAAGGCTTGGGGTGTGGCCCCCTAAGAAAATTCCCCGTTTCGATATGGACACCCGAGCAGTATTCCAACCCTCATACAAATCGAATGATTTATGTGCCACATATCTATTTGGTGCTTTATTGTACCAATGTTTATGTGTTTAAGTAAATAAATTAACAAAATCAGCAAATTTACGTACTATTGATAAAATCCAATTCCTATAGTCTAAGCAAAACAGTATTTTTAGTTTCATTGAATAGGATTTGGATCATATATCAAGGAAATACAATATAAGGAAGAAAGAAAAAAAGAGAACACAGTTGATAATTTTGGAACTTACTCATGACGCATTTCCATTTCAGCCCATTCACACCATACAGCTGCTAAATCTTCAACATGCATAAAAGCAACACCAGTTGCTTTTTCAAGTACTACTCGTGCATCATTCAACTGACCATGTTCTTCATATAAACGTGACAGACCAGTCCATAATGATGATGGACGACCTGCTGTTGCCTTAGCTTTAAAACAGTAAATATTAATTAATGTACAGTATTTTTACAAAAACAAATATTGTACACATGTAGATTTATAACAATAGGTCTTGTTATTTTTCTAACCGATGGTGAAAGTTGAGTTGAGTCTATTTTTAATGACATAACAGAAGGAGGCATGTAATGTACTCTTGTTAATTGGTGATCATGAAAATATATGAAGCCAACGTGAAGATCCGTTGAACAAAAAAGAAACTAAGAAAGTATGGGACTAATTCCGTTCAATCTACCAGATGTATCATGTATAACAATTCCCATTTATTTGAGTGATCTAACCATTAAACAAATATTTATTCATTTCAGTGTTGAAGCTAAACCACCATGGAAAACCTGGAAGCACTGGACGGCCGTTTCGTCCTATTGTGCGACTCCTCAGAAGTGCGCATCCACGACCTTGCCCCCTGCGAGATTCGAACCCAAGACCAATATTTTCTGTGAAGCCGATAAAATGATGTATACATCTTCACAAAACGGTATGTATGCATGTTATAGCAGATTAGATTTCACTCATTTACCATACCTTTATGCAACAAGGTTGTATAAAGGTAAACTATATGAAGAAATTTTTAAAAATGTTTGACTAGTATTGGGTTCTTAAATGGGACATTAGGATCTTACATAAAATAAGTTGGTTTTTCGCTATGTAACTGTAAACGTTGAGTGATGGATGTTTAATTAAATCACTGATATATTTAGCTAGTAGCTAACAGAATTAAAAGTTGGCAACATATACCTAGGGTTTAGGAGACCAGATAATATTACTAGCTTTACCAGATTACATGTTATTAAAAGTTGAGTACACAAAACCTGTACTAAGTAGATGCATCACAACAAGACGTAATTTGAATGTATGCTTAGTGATGATTAATTGGGTAAAATCAACTAAACGATAGGATTAGTGTGTAAACTAAAAATTCCTCACTAAATGTGTTTACAACGATATTTTTGTAGCTGTTTTACGGCATGACTAATTGTTACTCACCTGGATCAACCGATGTAATGCCCTCCATGAATGCTGCAATCTGTTCACGTGCTCCCTGACTTTTCAATAATTCAACACGTTTCAACCAATCCGCTACGTTATGAGGATTTTGACGTAACAACACACTATTTAAGAGTAAAGGACGACGATCCATGAGAGATTCAAGACGTGCTAGATACAATTCGACATCCAACTCATCTGCGAAGAAAGTGATTTGTTATGGGAAGAGAAAATGAATGAAGCATTAATGCATTAAATTTAATAACAGAACATATCTATAGTTGATGATAGTTGATTTATCAAGTTCAAAAACGCACTTTAAGAAGATTGGGGAAAGGTTGATAACCCGGATATTTATGTCACGTTTTAAGTTGATTGTAACTGAGTGTAGCAACTTCAAGTGCTCCGACCTGATCGAATAACGTACATAGATCGACCAGAATACATCTATTTACAAAAAGCTCTAGGAAAAATATTGTTCATGTTATTAAGTGCCCATACTGTCTAATAACTAACTGCTTAGTAGTGTAATTCACTGAACCTATATGGAAATGTCACTGTATTTCTCATATAATTATTAAGCCATGAAAAGGAAAGAATAGAGAAACAAATTTCAAACTATAATTAATATCTCACCATCTTCTGTAACATCAGATTGTTCCAAAGCAGCCATCTTTGCCTTTGCCATTGATTCTTCAAATTCCGCATAGGCATCAAAAACTTGAGTGAAATCACGAACTGTTGAAACGCTATTCAATGCTTCTGCATAAACATCTCTGGCCCGTGCAAGATTTTCACAACGTATATGATAGTCAGCCAAAGAATTCCATAAAACACCAACCTAAATAACCAAATTTGAATAGTTAAACTAAAAAATTCACCTGGTCAGTATAACGATGAATTCCTTGACGAATAATGGGATCTGCTTTCAGCGATGTAATCTTCAAAGGATTTTTAACCAAAAGATTGCATAATTGGTTCCACAATTGGAATTTAGATTTTCCTTCACGACTCATAAAACTATCATCATTAATTATTTCAGATAAGACAACTGCGGCTTCATTGGCATTTCCATGTTGAATAAGAAAATTGACAAAACGTTCCATATCATCTGGAGCAAACTAAATTAATAAAAACGTTATGAATATGCACACATATATACCTTTACATATCGTCTGTAGATTCGTACACAGGTCTCGTTAATTTTATGACCGTGTCTATCAGCAAATCTTAAATACAAATTCCATATCCTATCATGTTGGGTAATTGGTAAAGCTTTCAATGCCCTGTCAAAAGCATGTCTTGTTCGAGTAATCAATCCTTGTGACATTAGGAACATTAAATAATCTATCCATATACGAGGCATCTAGAAAGAAAATTATTAAGGGTAAATAAATTAAAGCCTTCAAAACCTTGTGCATTGTAACAAGAGCCCTTTCATGGGCATTATTAGTTTCTTCATGCAGAATACTACCAGGACAAAGAGAACGTGAATGCACACGCCGTAGACGTAGATAACGATACCATAATTTATAACTGTTCATAAAACATAGATATTAAACTCATCATTACCTACCTCCCAGGCAACTGTTTTACAGCTCGTTCATATAACATATAAACCACTTTTGGGGGTGACTTCGCTTTCATACTAATGTATCTAAGCCACGACTTAACATTGTGTGGATTACGAATAAGTTCTTCCTCAAACGGCCTATCTTGTTCATCCTAGGTAGCGGGGTAGAAATAGTAATGTAAAGAATGAGTCGTCAAAATAAGAACATACGATAACGATAACTTGGTCTTCATCCATGACTTTTCTCAACTTGTTAAAATGAGAAGTTGAAACTTTCTTCCCTGTAACAGTAAAACACAATAGGAAAAAGAAAATTATCAAGTCAACCAGTGATTCATATTCTTTATTATTATTATTATTATTATTATTATTATTATTATTATTATTATTATTGACATTAAAGTTATTAGATGAGAAATGTTAGGAACGATGAGTACTTTTCTGTTTAGCCAGCCAAAATATCAAAGTAAACTGTAGTTGTAAACACAAAATACATTTAAATAAATGAATATTAAAACATTCAGAAGCCAAGTCATTACCTCAACTAAAAATGAACAGATTATTATATAGTTATTTACCAAGTGATCACATTATGTAAGTGTAATACTTTAGGAAATTTATTTATGTTATTCATTTATTTGGAAAAACTTAAAATTCAGCATCGAAAACGAAAGTTCTTATATATCAGCATCTAAAAGCCTTGAAAACACAGTCACTTTACATTCTACGACCTAATGGTATGCTGAATATATTTGGAATGCAATAACTCAATTCAGTTAGCAAAAAAAGTACGTTTACGACCTTAAGGCGGCATTTGACTCTGTTGATCGTGAAGTTCTGTGGCCGTGTTTGTCACCGAAAGGATTACCAAAGAAGTACATTAACCTTGTAAAGGCTCACTACTCGAACACAACTGGTCGAGTGAGAGCTTATGGCGGACTGTCATCAGAATTGATTACCTCAAGTGGTGTTCGTCAGGGCTGTTCAACTTTGTGGTCGACGTACTTTTAGAGATAACACTTTCCTCGTCTAAATTTCCAGGGGTTGAACTTCTACCGGGAGATTCACTTTTTGACCTAGAATATTCCGATGACAGTTCTATTTGGTGAAGACGCTGACAATATGCAGTCTTCTGACCACTGTAAGCAACAATGCAAGCATGTTCGGCATGCAATTCTCTCCCTCGAAATGCAAAATGTTGCTTCAGGATTGGGCTGCATCGACACCCGAACTAATGACGAACGTGTCGACCGCTTCACTTATCTTGGAAGTCTCATCAGCCCTTCTAGTCTGGTGTGTAATGAAATCTCAGCACGGATACAGAAAGCTCAACTAGCTTATGCCAACTTGCGTCATTTATAGCATAGGCGAGATATCCGTCTATCAACCAAGGGACGTGTTTACTGCGCAGCAGTTCGTTCCGTCCTACTTTATGGCAGTGAAACATGGCCGGTAAGAGTAGAGGATATTCGTAAGTTACTAGTATTTGATCATAGGTGTCTTCGAAAGATTGCTCGTATACCCTGGAACCATTGAGTAAGTAATGCAGGTGTTAGGAAACGGGTGCTAGGTAAGGATGGCAAATCAACTGATGATGTATTGAAACTTCATCAGTTGAGATGGCTGGGACACGTGTTACGTATGCCCAACCATTGGCTGCCTCGACGTGCGATGTTCAATGGTTTAGGAGTCGGTTGGAGGAAAGCTAGGGGCGTCCAGAACAAAACATGGCATAAATACATGAAGTCACTGACAAGTGGACTGAGCCATGTTGGTAGGTGTAGACTACCTGGTTAGAATCCGCGAGATAATAGCAACCGATGGTTAGAGGCCCTGGATGATATGGCTCAAAATCGTCTGCAGACACAAGTGCATCCACTCTTTGTGTTCTCTCAATTTCCAATCTTCTGAATTCTTCATGTCCTTTTCTTTTTTCTCGTTCCAAATTAATTTCACTGTATTCTACTCCTTGAATAACATCTTCAAACCCTAATCTTTCCGATTACTGCTTATACTCTTATTACATCTACCACTACGAAATTTGAGTCAATAACTGCATCTCTGTGCTAATGTGGTGCGGGAACTCGAACTGATGTACGTACGTACGAAGCTCTATGTTGTTACTGACTGACTGACTCCCATTAATTGTATTCAAGTTGGAGTTGCGAAATATTAGAATAGTACAAAAACGTATTAGGTTGACTGAAAGTCTCTTTAAAAAAGCCATTTCAGGACAAAACCCTACCACTCACAAATTAATCAGACAACGCCCTGGTTTTTGCCATATAGATTGAATGCAGAAAATTCGCCCGAATTCTTAGTTTGTTATTTGATGGCATTGGATATAATTGGGAAACATAAGCTAGCTACTTCATCACAACAGCTACCTTGAAATGATGGTCAAACACGTCTATCGCGACGACCTAATTGAGGTATGTTGACTAAAACACCTATTTCTTAGAACTTACTTGACCAACCAAATCGGTCGAAAGATGGTAAGACTAAAGTCCTATAAAAGCTAACTACGTTTTTGACTGGTACTATGTTGTTTACCAAGGTAAGGGACAAAATTTAGTTAATAGACATCTGACCTTTTTCAATGGTAAAGTCTCTAAAAGGCATCTCGAGGTTCCAGAGATATAGAAGGAGCATGGCTGAAATGCCACATACATGGTTACTAGCAACATGCCCAAGCAGATTGTGTATTTTGGTGGTTTACGTAAATCCATCAATTAAAACGACAGCATTTTGAGTCAACTAATCACCTTGTACGGAATCATTACCAGATGGGCTCTACGCTACCAAGTGTCATATAAGAACAAAACCAGTATATAACACACTGAGCATGAAACAGACATTTCTGTAGCTAACTCAACTAGAAACAGCAAAGAATTCAGTTCATGCATCCAAAGATAAAAGATAATTGAGATGAGCATTAGGAAACACATTTTTTGTCAGATCCAAAGTGATGGCAGAAAAGAAAAAAGAAGAGTGATTCCATGGGTATAGCTCAAAGTAAATAAGTGGTATTGGGTGTCTAATGTCATGGAAACCAATTACATGAGGCGACCACATACATCTTTGGACAGCGATAAACATACAGTAGCCAAAATAATAGTTTACTAGATGTCACTTTCAGTACGCATAAGAGTTAATTTGTCATTACACACTGGTGAGCTCAAAAAAACAATACGTAACCTTTTGAAAACGAACACAATAAATCACATCGCGTTAATCACACACTAAAGTTTTGAATGAAAATCGTTGGTCATGTGACAAAAACTCCGGCTCAAACAATCCGTAGTCAAAAACTAGACCCAATATGACCACACACCTACTTGTTGCGCAAACAGGAAAATACGCGGCTCAAATTGCCAATATCTGTGTTACGTTACGTATGAATCAAATGATTTTCCAGTCCTCACTCCTTGATGCTATACTCTAGGTATTTGTTAAAGCATGGTTAAAATAGTTTATAAATTCTACTATCAAGTCTCATTGTACAGTCTTTCAGTATTCACGTTAGCAAAAGTCTACGATTTAGTATATTTAGTGGCTTATTATTGTATCATGAAATCCTTTGCAGAAGTTGGCGTAGATAGTATGCACTGCCTAAGATGACTCTGTCGATCTTTATCTATCTACTAGGATGACTGTCGAACAATAATGTTTCCTGGAAACTATGTTATAAACCGTTTAAAAAGTTGTTGGTTCACAAGATATTCATGATGTATTCTTGCAGTATTTGTACGAACTAATGATTTTTTTGTAATGTACTGCCCTCTGAATACAATTTAGATCACTAACCCAGGTGACTGGAGTCACATCATTGGTGGCCTACCGGAGTTAGGCGGGATATATGTTACGAACCAGCTAACTCCCAGGTAATAATTCGCGGTCAGAACCCAACCTATCCTGGTACTATGGCTGGTTTGATGACTGAACAACACAAACGACATTATTACACAAATATATATGTATGAGCAGGTACAATGAAGGGATTGCCACCACCAACGCATGGGCCAGAACATAGAGTGAGTTTAATTGATGCTCGTTGGTTCTTCTTAAACTTAACGGGGATCGTAGAGCTGTTTGACTTCAGCTGACACAACTGTCGTATGATTTGTTTAGATCCTAGTGATATTTCATTGTCTATACAAAAAATTCCAAATAAAATACGGTCATTTGTGCTCAAAAAGTTCTACTTGTTATATATTCCATTAGTTCGAATACTTCTGATCGTCATAAAATTTTAATCGTTTTTCACAGTATTCCAAATGCAACATTGGTGATATTGATTAGTTTGCTGTTCTACTGGAGATAGCGTTAAACGTTTTGTAAATTAGTTTTGGAATTGCATCCATAATGTCTATAAATAATTCACTTTTTCTGGGTGATATCTTGGATATATTAAAGAGTGCTTCAGTACTATGGACCTAATCCAGAGATTTGGGAAGTTGCTAATCTGGTACTGTTCATTTCCTTCGTGAAAAAAATGCATGGTTTTTCCAGTACATTTTTCTGGATGGAAGTTCATGACCAGCAGCCCATTTGGTGATATTGCTTGTTTCGTGGGAGGGCTCGTGGGAGAGAACGTCTAGAAGAAATGTGGCGTTGACTCTAACTCATCTGGACTATCCTTTAAAATTTGGAGATACGACCCTATAGGTATTTATACTGAGGATTCATGAGTGAGTTCTTGTTACGTAATTGAACATTCCATAAGGGTGCAAATCAGCAATTTTGGTAGGGTAAGATTTGTCCTTTGTCCTAACGACTCGGATCGTGATGATAAATTTATTTCGTAATAACGTACAGAGCAGTATAAACACAACTGTGTCGAGCCGAATATCTCTGAACGTTGACAAATTGAAAACCCGCATTACTATGTTTGAAAAAATATTTTGACATACGTCGTTCATAGTTGTCTTCAGATTGTTTCTCAATACTACTAACTAAAATTAGATTCACAGCCTATATAGTTAGCGCAATTTTTCAGTAGTAGATATGTCCTCAGTGGAACCAAATCAAATATCTAAAGACGACTTGCATGAGGGGCTATCTGAATTCACTTTCTGTGCCATTTTGCAAAGTTTGTGTGCTTTCTGCGTTTTATATAACCTGAATCCGACGTAATGTGGTTCACTTTTAATGAAATTCAATGGAATTCAATAGATAGAGGTAGAATTATGTGTTTTCAGCTTTTCATCTCCAGATCCTAAACTGCCGTCTAGAACCCATGGAGTATATGTTAGTATGAGGTGTGGATATCGACTTGCTAGACACGCACAAACAAGCCAAATTATTAAGAACATTGGATCGCACATTTAAGTCGAGCTAGTCATTGACTTTATTGTGCTCTTGAACTGGTATCTCTACATTAGGCAGGCGAAGCTCGTGCGACTTTTGTTGCGTCGACGTTTGGTTTTACAGACGTACCACACAATTCCCGACTTTCGGTACTTCCTGTATGTTATTCGCGCTATTGATATTTCCCTTTCAGAACTTCTGTTTATAGATTGCTAGTCACCAACTATACTTTTGGGTCTACTATGATCATTTTCTTTACACCTGAGGCTTTATCGGTGCTGAAGCCTAATACGTTTTCACAACCTATCAGTTCCTTTGTCTCGTCTCTTGGTTGATAATAATCTGTCGGAAATTTCAGCTCTGTTCAGAGGCTCGAAAGCCACAAGCATTAGAAACCCCGTGAAGCACGATGTCTTGCATAATCAACATGATTGTAACTACCAAAAAGATGAATATGCACCTGAGCCAAGTCCAGTGTACAGTGCTGAGTTTCCTCTGCATTCCATCCTCGACCAGAAAGACATATGTGAGTTCACTACAATGTTTTTTCGAAACATTTATTCAAATAAGTAGACACTGACAAAAATACTGCAAAAAACGAGAAGTACTTGACACTGGGACGTATTTGCACTTCCTGGCTCCCATCATAGCAGACTGCGCGTTTATTAAAAATTGCAAATATGACTCACTCAGCTGTACTCGTTCAGTTCTGCCTGCCTTGAATGGCATTATATCGAAATCTCTTACTTAGAAAATCAGTCTAAATTCTTCTACTTCTCGTATTTTCTCAAGGAAGTCAGAATATACACTGATCACCAAATATTTCCATATCCTACTAACGAAAAAGTGCGATTATACAGCTTCACAAGTGAGCAACTTGACCGAAGGTGCGTAACCCACTCGATGTTTCACGTATACTCATAAAAGGTCTTCAGGTGGAAACTTATGTGAAAGTAGATGACATTACTTTTATGGAAGTTTAACTGGAAATGTCGGATAAGAGATTGTTTTACATATTCGGGACGATCGAAACTATATATTTTACTCATAGCGGATAATTGGGACTAACATCTTAACCCTAACAATGAAAGTGAAGGTTGTGCAAACAACTTATACCCTTAATCTTAAGAAGAAGTACCTTTTTTTATTTCACTGTTTTGGCCAAAACGTAAGGTGTACTCATAGAGCTCCTTATTCCTACAAACTGCTTTCAGCACACACAAACTAGACTCGGTGCATTTTCGTTAGAATACGAACGTTAAGATTCAAATTGATAATTATCTGATATCCTATATCAACAAACCTACTTACATAAGTCACAGAGAAAGAAAACAATTTTGAAATATAAAATCTCAGCTGAGTAATATTGACAAAATATTACAATAAACGAGTGACATAAAAAGTACGTAAATATAAATCATATTCTCAGTTGTACTATTTACAGCATTTACTTGTTGATACACCAACATTAAATAACTAGGGTGTAGGTAATTTTGAAGAACTTCAATTCGTTTCCAGAATAATTAAAGTAGAATAAAGAACTTATATAATCCCTAAGTAAATATACAAAAAAAAGATATTTCATAAATCCGAAAGGATACTTTCACAATTGAAACTAGGAAAGAAGAATTTAATTTCTTTGAATGCATTTTCTTGTGAATCTGTTAATATAAAGAAGAGAGAAAAACATCAAATGAAGCCAAATCATCACAATAGATGTAAATGAACTAAGTGACATCTAAAGGAATATGATCAATTCTGATCTTTATGATCAAATGTTGTCAGTAAATCTAGCTGTATAACATTAATTAATGAGACATTCTTGTTTCAAGAACAATTGTCGCGTTTTCGTCTAAATATAGCCTTCATTCACCGAAAAATTGACAAACACAACTTATGAGCTTATAAAACTTGTTATGCAGTATTCGTTATACCAATTGTCAATTCATTTACGGTAAAATCACTATTCGATGCATCTGTTTTTCATTCGACCAGCTTTTGTGAACTGATACAAAATATTCAGATACTTCATAGTTATTGAGTAACCGTTTTTTATTCAATTTCAACTTCTAAACAAATACCACCTCATTGATCTCTCATATTTTTAAATGATCTGAAACTGTTCAAATCTGTCTCTAGTTCGAAGTCATGAAACTTATAAATGTTACAGAACAAATCAGTCAGTCAGTAACAACGTAGAACTTCGTACGTACATACATCAGTTCGAGTTCCCACACCACATTAGCACAGAGATGCAGTTATTGACTCAAATTTCGTAGTGGTAGATGTAATAAGAGTATAAGCAGTAATCGGAAAGATTAGGGTTTGAAGATGTTATTCAAGGAATATAATACAGTGAAATTAATTTGGAAAGAGAAAAGCGAAAGAGACATGAAGAATTGAGATTATAATTTGGGAGAACACAAAAAGTGGATGCACCTGTGTCATTGCAGACGATTTTGAGCCATATCATCCAGGGCCTCTAACCATCGGTTGCTATTATCTCGCGGATTCTAACCAGGTAGTCTACACCTACCAATATGACTCAGTCCAGTTGTCAGTGACTTCATGGACTTGCAGAACAAATGACTTAATATCTTTTAGCACCAATTTTCCGAGTAAATATTTTTAGTCCATTAAAGAAGAGAACAGTGTAATTGATGTATGGTAGTGAAAGTAAAGTATGATTGGTCGTTGATCCTGGACAAAATGTCATAGCCTACAAACTATTAAATACGTAGTTTTCCATTATATTATTGATTTCCATTTTGGACTGACTGTATGTGATTGCTTGTAGTTGTATTGAATAAAGTATTCTCTGGTGCTAATCTGATTCCCTATTTTAGGTCTCGAATCCTGGGTCCTAATATAACGTGATTAGTCTTATAAAAGTGTTAATGTATCATTGTAATATACGTCTAAGAAAGAGGATAGATATTGTAAGCCATACGTTATAGCAGTAGTAACTTGTTAGACGACGCACAGTTCCAGTAAAAAAACCCAACAAAGAATAGCATTTTGTATACTATGTAGCCAGCTGGGAAAAGCCCTAACAATATTTCAACCCATTTGAAATATAATAGTCCTTTGAAAAAGTCGATGTTATATTTCTGAAATATGGTATATAATTTTCTTGGTTAAGACATTAATCAGTCATGCGTTTTCACAAAGAATAAGCGTCTGGATCCAGTCAATTAAAATGATGACAAGTAAAATCGATCAATAATTACAACAAGTACTTCAATATTCATAGGTTTAATGGTATATGTCAACAATTTTAAGGATAAGAGTAGAGAATTGAAACGACAAAATTGTATAAATACTCAAGAAACACTGCATTTTGGAAAAGCTAAATCGAAGGTAATGACAACACTCCAAACAAACGTAATAATTCGTTTAGTACTAACGACTCATCAGACATGCGTGTGTTAGGGTAAATATATCATACCAACAAGAGATTAGTCATGACCCAGGTAGTCCAGTCATAATTTTCTTAACCATAAGATTGGGTAACGCAATACCTAAATGACAGTAGGAGCACCATTTATTTTGAGACTGCAAATTTGTCCTAGGGACAAGTGGCAACTACTTCGAAATATAAGTCCACTGTTAGCAACTGACTTCCTCCATCTAAACAATTATTGTGCAGTAGCAAAGTGCATATACACAGAGAGAATCACTGGGTTCGAGTCGTGGAGTGAACATCAATTCTGGGATGCAAGTACATTCGACTGACTGGTCGCAAATAGGACGAAGTGGCGCGCGTCTTCGATTCCACTGGTAGCCATCATCCATCTCTGCATATAATGATCAGTATGTTGCCAGAAATCCTGTTACCGAAATCAAATTGCGAAGAACTAACTATTTACCTAGAATACAAATATTTCGAGCTACCCGTGTATTTCTTGACAGTCACTAAATATACATGACAGTATCATAACTAGTTATTACTTTAAGCCTTTGCGTCGTAATTTTATGGTCTAGAAAAGGTTGAAAGTTGAAGGCATAGAATCACTGATCCTGGTTAGTCGAGAGAGAGAGAATGTAAAATAAAACTAATACAAACAACAGTGAAAATAACAAAACAAAGTTTTGATAAGTATAAGCTTGAAAAAAGCTTTAATTCAAGTTATATCGTTTAAATAATACTACCATAATCTATATCAACGTCTTACCTGATCCATGAAAACCATTTCTGGTATCTGTCAATCCAAAACGACCACGTAAACTATTTGGTTCATATACAACTGTCCTAAATATTGATAAAATAAGAACTAAAGACAGATAAAATGGACTCCATTTTGGAGTTATAAAAAGATGTTTGTCATGATTTTGAAATAACGACAAAAATCGAGAAAAAGAACTGCCGAAACATTGATGACCGTTGGTGGTCCTACTGAAATACTTGGTCTTAAATCTAGTCAGTTCATCGAATGAGGTAGAAACCAAATTTGTTGGACCAAGAGCGGTACACGTTGGTTGACATTTACCAACAATACAAAAAATAGTAAATATGCTATGAAATCACCACTTACCAAACAATATCGAGATGCTTTACATATGCTTAGAAAAGATTACACTCTGATCATAGGCAACCTGGACAAAGGAGGAAGGCTAGTTTTAATGAATAAAGCTGATAACATCGAAAAAATGTACTCAATTTTGAATGATCCAACTAAATTTAAATGACTCAACGACGTTAAGGATATAAATATGGAAGCAGAGAAACTACAGACTAATTCGCTTAAGGAATTAGAAAAATAAAGGAACGCTTCAACCATTCACGATTCACTTAAACCCATTATATCAAACACACAGCGACTCTACGGTTTACACGAAGTCCAGAAGACAGGACTTCCTGTTCGTCCAGTTTTGGATATGTATAATTCGCAATACCATAAAACTACAAAGTGGTCAGTTTGAATCCTAGGTTCATTAAACAAACTAGTCGTCAAGCGTTAAAAACGTTCTCTACTTCATTTCCAAGGTGGAACGTTCGAACTTAGTAGAAAACGGATGATATCTCTAGATGTTGCTTTCTTGTTCATCAATGTACCATTAACTGAGACGATTAACTTTGTGTGTCAACAACTTGAAAAAACAGATAATTATTGAAATTCTCAAGGTTAGTCTCGAAGAATTACTTCTGAAATGTACAATGAACGTCTATTTTGTCTTTACAAACACATATTATAGACAAATTGTTGGAATAGTGATTGATACACATTTAGGTCCTATCCTTGCTGATTTTTCTCTTGCGAAACTAGAAAACGGACCTCTCAAAGAAGTTATAGACAACTTTGACTTCTATTGTCATTACATTGATGATACTTTCATTATCGTCGACCAGAACATTGGAAAAGAAGAACTCTCAAAGCTATTTAACAATAAACATTCAGCAGTCAAATTTACGTGTGAAGAGGAACTTCATAATCAACTACATTTCCTTGACGTTTTAACAAACAGAAAAGTGGTTCTATCAGTAGAAGTGTGTATAGGAAAAGTTTTTCATTTCTTAAGCTTTGTACCCATTCATTGTAAGAGAAACCTAATTAGATGTCTCGTAAATAGAACTAGGAAGACATGCTCAGTTGATACTATAAACAAGGAACTAGAGCTTATTCATATGTTGATCAAAATAGGTTATCCACAAGGTTTCCTGGAGAAACACTTGCATATAACAAACAAGAAAGTAGAGACGTCACATGCTAGTAAGAAACCTCTCTTCCTGAAGCTGCAATTCAACGGAGATATAACAGGTGATGTATTAAGGGATAGACTAACTAGAGCAGTTAAGAGGACGTTTAATGCAGCTAACCTCTATCTATAGTACTTGACCCGATCTATAGTAATTCCTCAACGAAAAGACAAGTTACCTGCTCCTGCCGCATCTATATACATCTACAAATTCAGCTTCTCCTATGGAGAAAGCCATATTGGAAGCACTACCAGACAACTGAGCAAACGAGTTAGTTAGTAGATCTCTTCTTGGCTAGGAAAGGGACCATCAAAGCAATACACAGCTCTGTTCTATCAAATTTGATCGATAGTGGTCAAGTAATAGATAGAAATAGGTCATTCAAAGTTATTTATCGTATTACTACTAGTTTTCATTATGAGGTTCAATCTCGTCTCTTACACATAACAGAACCTAAAGAAATTTAAGCTAATAATCCAAGTCTTTGTATTCATAAGAAACTTTATAACACTTTTATCACTTCCTTGACCGAATTAGCCCTTATAGTCAATATTATTTATTGTTATTTTCTATACTGTTTGTTCGTTTAATTTTCTTCATCCCCTCCTATCCTTTTTTCCCCCCAAAATAGATGCATCACTGTCTAATTATCTGAACACTTTCTATTACATAATTTCATAGTTTTTATGTATGTTATTTCAATATCTACATTTTTCAAGTCATTGGTCTATTAAATTAACTTGGTATTGTTTTACTTATATCTTCCCATTGTTATTTAGGACTGAAATTGATCAGTATCTTATTGGCATATGTTCATCCTGTGCGGATTCCCTCGATATATGCCAACATGAGACTGGTCAATTACAGTCCTAAATAACAATGGGAAGATACAAGTAAAACAACACCTAGTGAATTTAAACTTTACCACATTGCACAAGCAGGTGGCTATCAGGAATTAGTAACTAAGGGGATAACGCGATAGCGTCTGAAGTGAACGGTACCAGGTTCAAGTCGCAGAGTGAACATCAACTCTAGGTACATCCAGCTGACAAGTCCCGAATAGGACGAAATGCACGTCCTGGATTCTACTGCTAGCCACTACCCATCATTGGTTTATTTCCTATTATGAAACATGGGTTCAAGTTTTTGTTATTCTTATCACAACTAGTACACTCGACATCCTACTATTAATTTGTACTTTTTACTTATTATGTTTATTTATATAATCTATTCCACTATTATTAACTTCGCCTGTAGCTCTTCTAGAGTTACCGCCGGTCCCAAGCCAGGGTAAAGGAGGAGGGTTGGGCATGGGGTTAGCAACTCCATCCCGTAGAAAACTAGCTCGCTAAAAAAACGCTAACCAAAGTTCTACTATTATTATCATTGAATCATAAACTGCCTTGATTGGTTTAATAAGTTCGTACATGCACTGCTTGAAATAATCACTAAGAAAATGGCACGAATAATTTACACATTTTATGAAGAAATTAAGGAATTAATGGTTTTTTTAATTTCAGGATCGTAGATACGCACTGCTGAGGAGTCACACAATAGGACGGAACGGCCGTCCAGTGCTTCGAGTTTTTCCATTGTTTGAATAATTTTCTGGTTAGCGTTTTTTTAGCGAGTTAGTTTTCTACGGGATGGGGACGCTAACCCCATGACCAACCCTCCTCCTTTATCCGGGCTTGAGACCGGTAGTAGCCCCCGGGAGGACTCCAGGCAGAGTTTTTTCCATAGTGGCCTAGCTTTAATGAACTCATAATCTCAATGATTGAAATTACTATAATATTCACAAAAACCCTTCAGATATTAGATATTAACTGATTTCCGTTAGAACAAGGTGAACATATGTTTGAATTAAAATGACAGTATGTCTACGCTAAGCGATTACGTAATAGTAGTAATGAATTTTGTGTTCCTCTAGACCATAGCGCTAAATGAACTTGACTGATGCAAATGAAATATATCTTCCAAGTCTGTTTGATATTTGGTAATTGAAGGTAATCAGAAAAGAACTAGTATGCTAATGAAAACACTGGCTTATAGATGAGTTACTAAATACCATAGAATCTGAAACTTACTACCAGTCGGTTTGAACAAGAGACAGAATATCAGTTGGTTGATTAATTTTTAAATATGATCATTAATTTACACCCTTATCATTAAACATATTCATTAAAAAATTATCAACGATGGTTAATAGATCTGTAAATTAAACATTTTATGCAACTGTCTTGTCATGACAGAGTCTCCATATTCATATTCTTTTATTATACCATTGAAAATCAGTGAGCACTGGATTACGATCTCGAACCAAGATCTTAATATATAACCTGTTGAAGCACCGTACAATAGTTTACATTTCCAACTTGAACTTTTGATAGAATGCAATCATTTTCCAATACTAATAGTAAATAACTGGCTTGTACCCGACACATTACAACTTCCATAGTCACGGCTTCTAATTAGACTTCCGAGACTAATGTCTTAGAATAAGTCACCGATGAGCACATGATTATTATTATTATTAACGTAAGGGTTTGTAGATATTGTGGATTAATGGTACGGCCGAGAGTGGGGAGAGTCCTCTCTCCCTCTCGAAATGCTCTCATATGGCCACGCGTATACAGCCTCTGCCAGGGAAGTCCTACTAACTGCCTTCTCGTGGCAGGGATGTTGTTTACGAAATTGAGAGGACGAAAAGCGAATGTCCGGCCTTTTAACCGGATTCAAAACCAATGGTGCACATGGGCTCCAGTATCCTAAAGGAACAAATGGCGTATAAACCAATCGTTGGTCACCGGCTACCATGGGACTGCATCTCCTTACGATGCTCCACTGCCTTGTGGATCAGACCTTCAGGTCGAAGGCTCGGGGAGTAGCCCCCTAAGAGAACCACCTGCTTCGGTTCAGGCACCCGAGCAGTATCACAGCCCTCACACATATCGAATGAGATTTGTGTGGCGCATATGTATTTGGTGCCTCTTTGTACCAATATCTATGTGTTGAAATAATAAGGATTAATGGAATGGTAGCTAGGTGATTAAATCTTTCTACCCTCAATCATCAAGTCGAACACTATGAAATTCCCTCACCTACATCAGTTGAACCAGCCTTAACATTCAAAAAGAGGTGGCTGAAAACCGATGAAGTGGAAGTTACGAGTGGGAAAAAAACACATCTACTATTTAATGTAAGGAGCTAAGTAGTGCAACCGTAAAAACTTTATACGGATATATGTCAACAATTAAATCATTCCATTTAAGAAAAGTATCAAACATATTTAAAAACACCAAGTTTACCGGTAAACTTTAGTGGGACCGAGCAATGAACGCCAAACAGATATTGCATTATTACCGGCAAGAATATACACTCCAAGTGGTCCGCTATAATATAGGAATAACATAAATGTGAATGCAGTCAGTCGAATAGTTGGTTACCGGTTTTACAAAGCATCACAACAACCAATTTACCCGGTAACTACTAGACTAAACGAGAAAAAACAATTCAGTAGTGATGTCAGTTTGGAGACGAATATTTACGAATAATGGAAAGTTATGCTTGGTGAAAGCCCTGAAATAATGTGTAGTATTGTGAATGCCCAGCGCAACAATACAAACATGTTGGGAATTTATTTCTCTTTTTTTCTCTTTCTAAGTGTAAAGTGTTGCCTCCGCCAATCCTAAGCAAATGTTGAGCATATCGCGCAACAGTCAGCTCATTATTACTCTATGGCTGTCAAACGTGACCCATGAGAATAGAAGGCATATATATTGGTTAGAAGGTTTTGACCACAGGTATCTACAATGCATTCCTAGCATATCGTGGAACTAAATAGTGTGTTGTTCAGGTTAGACAAAATGAGAAATCAACTGATATAGTTGTGAACCTTTTTCAAATGTGATTGCGAGGTGTATTACCTAACCACAAACAGGAATAGACAGAAAAAAAACTACAGATAACCAAATCAAAACATGGCGGCGTCAGTCCATAAATTAACTGACTCCTAGATAGAACCATATTGTAAGATTCATACTATTTCATAGGAGTTCGCAAGGTAAGCGAAAACAACGGTTGGAGATATCTGGTAACATAGATTGGAAATGGTCACACTAGTGGAGATGTATCCTTATTTTATTTTCCTTCACGTATTAAGCTTGATAAGTATTTCGTAATTTCTTTTTCGATCGAATCTATCACGTCATTTCAAATCATAAATCAGCATCTTTATTCTTTCTAACTATAATTGACTATGCCATTATTTCAAGTCGTTATTCATTTCGTCATCCTAATGTGGTAATGGCAACATGGGCTAACACATAATTGTCTCAAACTATCAATTGATCAGAATTAATCGAATGTCCCACAAAAACCCTGGTACGGACGAGGGTGGAGAGAGTCTGCTCTCCTTTACCATATGCTCTCATATAGCCACGCGTATAAAGCAACTTTCAGGAAAGTCCTACTCACTGCCTTCTCGTGGCGAGGAGGTTTTTCACCAAACTGAGAGGACGGAAAGCAAATTCCGGCGCATTAACACAGTTGGTGGATATTGAAGATTCACCTAGAAAAGTTCGAAAAGCCTGATTCCGAACCAATGGTGAACATGGACTCCAGGATCCTGAGGGAACAAATGGCGTATAAACCAATCGTTAGTCACCGGCTACCATGAAACTGTATCTTCTGACGTTGCTCCACTGCATTGTGGATCAGACTTTTAGGTTGAAGGCTTCGAGTGTGGTCCCCTAAGAAAACCACATGCCTCGGTTTGGGCACCCGGACAATATCATAGCCCATACACAAATCAAATGACTTGTTTGGCGAATATGTATTCAGTGACCCTTTTTTACCAATATTTAGGTTCTCAAATAAATAAATAATAAAGATTAGTCGAATGATCAACAATATACAGCAAAGTTGTTTGGTATTCAACAAAATGAGATCAAAGATAGTTGAATAATTGAGAAATAGCTAAAAAAATTTGAGACAATCAATCATTTGATACAGCAAATTACTATTTTCAATTATAGTGAGAATCGTTATTAAAAGTAAATTTTAAAGTGCTTCTCGAATGACGAAACAAGAAGCATATATATTTAGTGCCTCCTTGTACCAATTTTTATGTTGGACATTAACATCATTGAATGTCAACTCAGTGGTCTACAGGTTAAGCTTTCACGAGCAAGACCGGCAGGTCGAAGGTTCGAATCCTACGGACGGGATCGTGAATGAGCACTGCTGAAGAGTCCCGTACAAAGACGAAATGGCAGTTCAGTACTTTTAGGTTTTCCATAGTGATCTAGCTTTAATTGACTCATAAATTCAACTATTAAATAAATAATAATAAAATTGAACTTACCAAATCATATGATTAACAAGTCGATCATAGAAAAATTTACCTAAAATGAAAATTTTTTTTAAAAGAAGTAAACTGGTTAATTTTGTTGGCAAATATTGAGTTTCAGTAGAAAGAAATTTAAATAATACAAAGCAAAAAGAGAACAACATCAGTTTAATGATATTTAAGTAAATCTTATGATTAAGGAGGAAGAATGTTTGAGAACGACCCATGGGTGAACTCAAGGAAGCTCTGAAAGAGCCGAAGATATTCCATCCAATCATCTTATAGAAGAACATTCTAGAATCTTCATGTGTAGCTTCCCTAGTGAACAAGTGCTAAAAACCACTGGATGAGGATTGGATGATTATAATGTTGATTTCATTTTTACTAAAAACTATAAATACCTAAGAGTTTTGTACCATATTTGAAACTGTTCGAAATAACATTCCTCGTCAGTCGTCTCCTGTCATCTTATTTCAGACTTAGAGGGTTCTAGCGTTCGAGTGTCCAAGCTATATGCGGTATATCAAGAACCTAAGATCTAGATATAACCGAATACATTTGTAAAATCTCAGCGAATGAATTTGAAGTGAATTCAACGTTTCGTTTGGCAATCTGGTCCAAGAAAATAAGATCAAACATTGAACATCTGATGTTCAATGTTTGATTATATTTCCTCGAAAAATCTTGAACCAGATTGCCAAGTGAAATGTTAGGTTCACCTGTAAGTTCATTCGCTGAGATTTTAAAAATACATTCTTCCTCCTTAATATCTCACATCAAATTGGCGTTCAAAGGCTGTGAAATTGCTCAATCGAATTTAGACGAAAGTTCTTATAAATCTTATGATTACTTTTTATCGCTGAAAATCTTCAATTATTCGATATTATGGGTAGACATCGATTGACCACATTGTATCTTTGTATAATATTTATCCACCGAAGACAATGAAAGATGGTTGCACAATGTGAGGACTAACGATACTATTAATGAGTAGAGCAAAACAGAATTAGACGGGAGCAACATTTGAACCTATGACTGCGATATTTAAAATTCTTTTGTCAGTAAACCATCGTTCTATCCACATAGTTAATTGATTCTCAGTCAGTCAGTCAGTCAGTAACAACGTAGAACTTCATACGTACGTACATCAGTTCGAGTTGCCACACCACATTAGCACAGAGATGCAGTTGTCGATTCTAGTGGGAATGATGTTGAAGACATTAAAGTAAATGAAAATATATTATTATTGGAAATGATAATAAATTCTCCTACTTACCTTTGTGTTCAGCGTAAAATACTTGAGCACGATCGCGCGTCATAAAAACCTCTTCATTATGAATAATTTGTAATTGTGCATCGGACATCACAGATTCGATATACTAACGTTTGATTAAATTACATGAAATTTTTAAAAGTATGGATTTAATTAGTTTTATGAAATGATTAATCGAGAAATAATTGATTTGACAATGATACTTATCAGTAAGCTGATAGGCATAAGATACTACTCTCTGTCACGCGATACCGCCTCTAAATGCCCCGGTACGGCCGAGAGTGGGGAGTCCGCTCTCCTCGAAATGATCACACATGGCCACGCGTATATAGCCATTGTCAGGGAAGTTCTACTCACTGACTTCTCGCGGCATTACCGTTGTTTACGAAACTGAGAGGATGAAAAGCGAATGTCCGGCGCTTTAACCGGTTCGGTGGATATGGAAGATCCACCGAATAGAGTTGGAAAACCACAATTTCAAACCAATGGTGAACATGGGCTTCAGGTTCCTAAGGAAAGAAATGGTGTATGAACCAATTTTTGGTCACCGGTTGCAATGGGATGGCATCTCCTTACGTTGCTCCACTGCCTTGTGGATCACACCTATAGGTGAAACGTTCGGAGAGTGACCCGTAAGAAGACCACCTGATTCGGCCTGGACGCCCGGGTAGTATATCAGCCCTCACACAAATCAAATGTGGCGCTTATCTATTCGCTGCCTGTTTGTACCAATGTTTATACGTCTAAATAATAATATTAAATATGCAATACCACTTCGAGTCAAAAATTTAATCAAAAGAAATTAAAAAAAAACCAGAAGCAAAAAAGCTGTACAATCTTCCATAATACATTAACTTGACAGAATATGTTCGAAGCTACAAACCCCTTTCATTGGTATCAGTCTATTAACTGATTTGTAAAATTAGATCGATAAACAAAGTCATATGAAACTACAATGTACTATAAGGTTGTAGTTGTTCTCTTACCAACTGTAATTCAGGACGTTAAACAGGAACTTCATACATCCTACCTATCAACTTTAGATCCTTCAAAGTTTATTGATTATTTTATTTAATAAAATAATTACCAATATTTCCAAACTATTACTGAAGAATATATAAAGTTATATACAATTAAGAGGTATTTTGCAAATATATCAATGTTTCATGTTATTAAGCAATCAGATAGATTCTCTACTTCAAGCTTCGATTTATATTGTTACATCGACTGAAATCTCTAACTGAACAGTTCATTCTGCTGTTGGACCAATCAAACTAATCTATTTAATGATTTGAACACATAAATATTGGTACAAAGAGTCACTGAATACATATGCGCCTCACAAGTGATCTGATTTTGTGTGAGCTATGATACTGTCCGGGTGCCCAAACCGAAGCAGCTGGTTTTCCTAGGGGACAACACCCGGAGCATTCAACCTAAAGGTCTGATCCACAAGACAGTGGGACCACGTTAGAAGATACAGTCGCATGGTAACCAGTGACTAACGGTTGGTTTATACGCCATTTGTTCCCTCAGGATCCTGGAGTCCATGTTCACCATTGGTTTGGAATTGTGGTTTTCCACCTTCCGCAGGTGGATTCTCCATATCCATTTAACTATACACCTACTGTGGTGCGTGCTACTTATATTGATGTAAGTAGTATATGACGCAAGTTAAAAAGTAATGTCTGGCAGTAGAAGATGAGAGAAGATCAAGAAAGGAAGAGCGCGAACACTATGCAATTTGTATGTTAACGCATGAACCATGGAATGGGAGACAATAGATTGATGTTTGCAACAGGAACAGTCCAGTTTGATATGATGGATTGATATTTTGCAAGTTGATGATTTAGTATATGGTATTCAGATTTTATTGAGATAGTCTGTAATTTTTGTGCTAAATACATTCGATTGTCCCCACCCGTGTTCTGTTCATTACACTACCACTATTGTAATATTAGGCTGTCTAAAGTGTGCATAAATAGATGCATTAATTCTAGATAGTTATTTCTCATAATCAAACGACAAATATTATTTTCCGATTTTCCTACATCTCAGCAAAAGATGAATTACTAAGGATGAACTGTTTTTCAATTTCTACAGTTGGATCCGATTCTATCACTAGCAACGTAAAGATGATGTAATCATTAGAATATCTTAGATTTTTATGACAATAAATGATTTTAAAAGTTGAATTCATGAGTCGATGTAAGCTAGATCACCATAGAGAACCTGGAATTATTGGATTGCCGTTTCTTCCTAGAATGGCACTCCTCAACAGTACGCGTCCGCGATCTCGCACACAAGACCAACTATTGAAATTACTACAATTTCCACAAAAACCCCATTCTGATCAGAATAGAGAATTCATATATGATCAACATATGAGTAACACAAATCCAATCAAATATGTATAAATTCATATGAAAAACAATTACAATTTCTGTAAATAAGGATATAAGTGTTGTTTAAATGATGAATTAACACTCAGAATGAAATAAAACAATGCCGTCTGTAACTCTTCTAGGGCTATTACCGGTCTCAATTCCGTATAATGTAAGAGGGTTAAGGGTATGGGGTCGGCAACCTCATCCCGTTAAAAGATAACCTTGCTCAAAGAAAAAATCTATAAATTAACTTACTTTACGATAATTTATAAAACGTTGAACATCTGGTTTCAATATTGCCAATGTTAATTGTTTCATTGACATATTGAACACTATGACCTAAAGATCTTTACAAAAAAAAATAACCCGTAAAGTATAATTATTACCATCATTATTCTAATTGAAGAATAGTATTGAAATGGATCTGAGATACTAATAGACACATTGAAATGGGATATGATTAGCTTGAAAGAACTCAGTAAAATCATATTGTGTAAATTATTATTTATCAGAAGGGATTTTTGTAGAGATTATAGTAATTTTAATAGTTGAGATCATGAGTCAACTGAAGCTAGATCATCATGGAAAACCTCGAAGCATTGGGACTCCTCAGCAATGCGTATCAACGACCCCGACTCGCGAGATTCGAGGCCAGGACCTATTAGTCTCGCCTGCCAGTCGCTTAACCAACTAGACCACTGAGCTGGCCAGCATCCAATGGTCTTAATGTCTAACTTCAACTAATCCATGAAATTAAGTGACACATCTATCATTGTCATCGGTGAGTTACTATCTCACAACAGACCCGGATGAACTCCACTAGTCACCGCTTCTCACTTGAACTCCAGGATATACCTCTTGAAGCCAGTCCCTTGTGAGTATAGGCTGATTGATATCAGAAGGGATTTTTGTGAATATTCTAGTAATTTTAATAATTGAGATCATGAGTCAATTATTATTAGCTTTATTCAACATTATATTTTAAGTACAATATAGAATTCTCGACACAAAGTATTTCAACAAGTTTCCTTTTCTTATTTCTTGATCTATCCTTGCGATAAATATCGAGTAGTCGCCGGTTAGATGTAAGCAGTTCATGAATCCACATCTGATTAATTTATATTCTTTTCCATGTATATTGCCAGAAACCACAATGTCTGTGATTGGGCTCTTTCGTAACTTCTATAGTGAAAGGTTGTGAACTTTTCATAAATACATTTGAATAGGTTATACAATTAATTGATATAATGATCTGTTGAAACAAACAAGGAAACAGATCCTTTGTTGAAATTTCTACATAGCAGGAACAAGTAGACCAGATATTCAAGCAGGTTACCTAGTTGATTGACAAAATATCATTTGTCGATCGATCACTCTGTATATTCAAAAGATCCCAACAGCTGATCAGTTAACAAGAAATAACCCGAAATCCAAACAGATTTCCATACTGATAATGTTGACTAGAAAGACGATAAAAGCCAAGGTTATACAAACTAGCTCCATTAAAATCTTCCACATGAGGTATAAATCTTACACTAACACTATGTATTAATACGTATTCACATCAACTTTACAATCATATTCAACCCTTACGTAAGAAGCAGTTGATAAAAACTTGTATTATCAGATTAGTTTGATTGCATCGTTATTTCTATTCTTTTCAAATGAATAAACAAAACGATTTGGGTACAAACAACCAAAAAATCACTAAGCAGATGTTTATTTTTAGAAAATAACTCTGCAACAATTTCAACGACCTGCTTTAAAATGATTCCATATAGTTCTAATTAGGAGTACATTTCAGAAAGTGGACCGTTACCAACTGATGGAATAAAGTGATCACAGAGTCACATTATAAATTGACTAAAGTTCTAGATTAGTCTGAAGGTAATGTACCTGCTGCAACATTTAAAGATTACCTTTTTGATTCTTGATGATGTCATAGATATATTCTGTAGAAACGTTCACTTCAAATAGATTAAGACGAAACAACTGTCCACTGATTTCTGAACACTATCAATACTTCATCAACTGTTATCAGCAAATGATACAAACAATCAACATAAGTAGAAATAATTCGAAATTATTATTGATCAACAAACACAAAAGAACTAATTTACATTTCACTCTCAATGACTTCCATTTCAAGAAGGAATACAAAAGAAGAAAAACAAACAAATGATCACATTAAATGATTTATTAAAGATAACTTATTACACGTTATCATTCAATGAAACAATCACCACACGTACATGTAAACATACAGGAATGATTTATGATTATTTCAAAAAATGATAACAATTTGAAATTAGTATACACTATACCATAAATGAACAAAGTAGGTAATAATGCAATTAATTAATCAACCAATCTAATTATAAATGAAATAAAAAACGACAAAATCAACACCCCTTGCCACAACCAAGGGTGGGCGGGGAAGTTATTTCTCCCTCTCCAAATGCTCTCACATGGACATGAGCATACAGCCATTGTCAAGGGAGGCCTTCCCACTGACTTCTCGCAACGCCGGTGTTGTTTACCAAATTGACACAACAAAAAGCGGATGTCCGGCCCCTTAATCCGGTTAGTGGACACAGAGGGCTCATCTAGGGGAGTTGGAAAACCACAATTTCAAACCAATGGTAAACATGGGCTTCAGGTTCCTAAGGAAAGAAATGGCGTATGAACCAATCGTTGGTTACAGGCTATCAAGAGACTGCATCTCCTTGCATTGCTTCACTGCCTTGTGGATTAGACACTTAGGTCAAGGGCTCGGGGAGTGACCTCCTAAGAAAACCACCTGCTTCGGTTTGGGCACCCGGGCAGTATCATAGGCCACAAACTAATCAAGTGACTTGTGAGGTGCATATGTATTCAGTGACCCTTTGTACCAATATTTATACGGCGAAATAAATAAATAAATAACACTAACTACTACTACTACTACTACTACCATAGTGTATGTGTATACCACAAATATTGAGATATTTTTTAAAGCAAATGCAAATAACAAGTAAATGTCTATTTGAATACAATGATTGTAATTGAAACAAACCGTCTATGATGGAAGTAATACCGTGTTTTTACATACTAGAAAATAACAGCCCCTTACATAAGACTGAATTACCGAAAACCAAATTATCGTAGGACTTTAATTTCAATCATCGATTGTTTTGTTCGAATGCTTATTACCACATTCCATATGATATTGAAAGTGATTGGTTTCAACACTGTGATTATTGAAGAGTTTTTTTTATATTCAATAAGTCACAGTCAACGTAAGATCTGAAATGAATGTGTATTGGTTGAAATTGGTACACTTCAAATCGGCACAGAAAACACGGAATTTAGCAAAATGAGAAGCAAGAAAGAGGAATTAATTTTAACACCAGAAATTTAAACATAAGAAATACATATTTCAGCAAAATTATGTAGTAATTAACAATGGAATATAAGACGACGGTTTCGTCCTATTTAGGACTTGTCAGTTGGATGTATATGTACAATAATGCTGATACTCAGGGTCTCGAATTCAATGCCTTCCATTTTCACATGATTAATAAGTTATCCACTTAGCTAGTGAATCCATGCAGTTACTGACTTGTGCAACAAGAAAGAATCTTATTCGATTTGTAAGTGTTTGAATCTTCCCGTTTATAAGGACTGAAATTAATTAGTCTCTCTTGGAGTATGTGCATGCTAAATGGATCAGATCGATATTGACATCAAATCGAAACCATAAGAAACATGGTTCAAAAAAGGAACAAATAAGACTAATGAACGAAAAATTTAACTGGAAGATTGAAAGAAAACATATTAAATCCAAATGAGATTTTGTGCCATAACATTCAATGTTTCTAACGAAAGATAACGGCTAATTTAAGGAACTCAACAATGAATTTTATCAACTTCTGATAGTACAAACTAACAATCAATAACTTTATGTATTGATTGATAACAGTAGTAATTTATTAATTGAATTCATGAGTCAACAGATGCTAGACCATCATAGAAAACCTCGAAGCATTGGACGACCGTTTCATCCCAATAAGGGATTCCTCAGCAATGCGTATCCACAATCCCACCTCGCGAGATTCGAATCCAGAACCTAGCAGTCTCGCATGCGAACGCTTAACCTCTAGACCACTAAATTGACATCCAATAGTGTTTCTGTCTAATTTCAATCAATTCACAATACAGTAGAGTATTGATCATTCAAAGATAATTTCTATCATAATACAGGCATTATTTTTGTGATAACCACATACACATACACACTATCATTTCATGCCTCATTTCAATAAACATTATCAAATGAACTACAAATTTACAATCATACGGGGGGTAAGAATATAGAAATTAGAAGTTTTCTTTAAATAAACAAAATAATCACTTAGTTACTAATTTAAATGAAAAATGATGTAACTGAATTAATAAATGCCGAGATCTCGTTAAGAATTTCATTTACAAACAAGGATGAAATGATTACAACAATTGATCATCAGGACGTAATGATGATGATGTTAACGAGAATGATGTGGTTGTTGTTGTTGTTTTTGGTGCTGATGATGATGTTGATGACGGACACTGGTTCGATGAGAGAATTTCACCTAAGATTGGAATAGTCAAGTTTTCTGATAAATCCGGCAATAAAGATGTATACTGTAAATGATAATAAAAAGATTTTATAATAGAAAATCAACAAACGATATCAAACATTTGAATATAAACAAAATTTATTTACAGCTATAAATTATTTATTGTGTAACAGGTTTTTATAACTACCCTTCTCACTTAAATATCGACATTTTAACAATAGGATGATAAAATCATTGAACCTATTTTCTAAACGGTACAAGCCCCTAAATGCCTTGGAACGGCGGAGAGTGGGAAGATTCAGCTCTCCGTCTCCAAGTGCACTCATATGGTTACGCTTATACAACTGCCAGGGAAGTCCTACTCATTGCCTTCTCGTGGCGGGGGTAATGTTTACGAAAGTGAGAGGACGAAAAGCGAGTGTCTGGCGCTTTAACCAGATTCCGAACCAATGGTGCACATGGGCTCCAGTATCCTGAAGGAACAAATGGCGTATGAACCAATTATTGGCCACTGGCTACCATGGGACTGCATCTCCTCACGATGCTCCACTGCCTTGTGGATCAGACTTTTAGGTCGACGGCTCCGAGTGTGGTCCCTTAATAAAAACAACTGCTTCGGTTTGGGCACCCGGGGAGTATCCTAACCCTCACACAAATCGAATGATTTATGTGGCGCTTATAATGCTTGTTGCTTAAAGCAATATCGAGGCAATCTGCACAGTACGCACATGTGCCAAAAGGAGACTAATCAATTGCGGTCCTGAATATCGATGGGAAGATACAAACAATCAATACAAATAAGGTCATTTTAATATGCAAGTAGTGTTCCACACGAACTGCCCCGCCTGGAGCCACTCTGGGGCTACTGCCAGTCTCAATCGCGGATAAAGGAGGAGAGTTGTGTATGGGGTTAGCGACCCCATCCATTAGAAAACTAACTCGCTAAAAAATTACCAACCATTCTTCAGGAATCGGTCACAACTGGCGTGCTATTGAAAACTAGAAAGCACTGAACAAATACGGAACCTAAAATTCTTAATTGAAATCTCCGAGAGTTTAATCAGTGTCCAGTGTTGAATAGTCCTGCATTCACACAACACGATCATTCATTTGCTTCTTGGTTATCCTCCATGATATCCCACCCAACTGCCTTATTTTCCATCCCCTACTGATATTATCATTTAGAGTTATTTGATTTTAATTCTATTAATTCATTTCATAAGGTTGTGAGTGCATTAAACTGTAACAAATTTGATTGATAAACATTTGTAGTGATTCATATCAGAAGGGTTATTGTGGAAATTATAATAAATTCAATAGTTGAAACCACGAGTCAATTGAAGCTAGACCATCATGGAGAACCTCGAAGCATTGGACAACTGTTTCATCATCCTAGTAAGGGACTCTTCAGTAATGTACATCGACGACCCCAACTCATGAGATTTGAATTCAGGACTTATCATTCTCGCACTGGAGTGCTTAACCATTAGACCACTATAGTGATGACAAAAGACAACAATATAAAACAATTATATAGTTACTTGTGATATACGTTGTAAACCATTTTCTAATTTTTCATTAGCTAATAATAATCTTTTTAAATTATTCACAGCTTGATGGATGTTTTCAAAAGATTGAGTAGTAGCGGTAGTGGTAGTAGTATCTTGTTCAATAGTTTTATTATTCAATGATTGATAAGATTGTAGTTTCAAGTCCATATAGACTGGTATTAATTGAGATAATTTTTCATGGAATTGTTGAATTTTCTTAGATGATTCTTTCATTTTATCGATCTAATTAGTGTAAAGAGAAAAAAGAGAAAGAAAAAAAAAGAAAAATAATAAAAACGAATAACTTACATATATGTAATTGAGTATACAGGATAAAGTGTAAGTGAATAAATAAATTGTAATTAATGAAATGAGATACTGCAGTGTGTGCTACTTATATCGACATAAGTAGTATATGATGTTAGTCGTGAACAGAAGGTCTGGCAGCAAAGAGACAAGAGAATCAAACAGTAAAGAATGGAAACAGAATGCAATTTGTATGAAAATGCAAGAACAATGAAGTCTAAGTCATTATGAGACAATTGGTGGACAGTTTGCAAAAAACATTTACTTTATGATTGTTAGATTTTATTAACAAGTCCTGTGATTTTGTGTTAAGTACACTCGATTGTCCCCACCCGTGTTCCGTTCACTACAATATGAGTAGATGAGAAATAAAGTTATAACTCTACATAATGTACTCATGAAAGAGATGAAAGGTTGATGCCTTTTTTTGTTTTCATAGGCTAAGAGTGTAAACATATAGGATGTGCATATGTTTACATTGCATCATCTCAAGATCGAACGGTAGGCGAGAAATTATAAACGAAGTAAGTAAGTAGACCATGTACCTATTTAAGACTCAGTCTACCTATCCTTGTCTGAGTCAGAAAGAAAGCGAGTAGTATGAATAAACATGGTTAATATACATTATGATTTGGTCTTGCTACTAAACTATCAGAATTGGTTTAGCTTCTTCATTCGCATAGTGGGTTTCGTAGAACGTGGGTATAGACAATTCTATATGAATTTCAGGTCAATTATGTTGTCTAGACTGATATATTATCTAGTTCATACAACACAATACAACCAAAACATTTAACTTTTGAGTTGAGATGATAGATAGGAGTTCTAACTCAAGTGGGATGTATTTGGTTTTACTGTATACTCCAAATTCAATGATTTAATTGCGAAGATTACATTGTCGTTCTTGACAACACTGGACATTTCATTTGAAATGAACTTGAAATAACAGCTTAGAGAGTAAAACAGTTGAATTTTCATCCTTTGAGTCATAGGCTCAAACCTCCGTCCTACTTACTATAATTTAGACTATTGAGTAGTAGAAACGCAAACTATTACACCCAAAATTTAAGCGGTGACACGAAGGTTTGTGGAAATCATCGAATTTTATAGATAACATCGCGGATTGATATAAGTTAAACAGTCAATGAAATTTAGGAAGAACCCGATGATAGATCCTCAGGGAGATCATGGATGCACATTGCTGAGTAGTCCCATATTGAAACGAAATAGATATTCAGTATTTCCTAAATTTCAATCGTTACTTTAAAAAAAGTCAATCAATGATATTGACCATAAAGTTAACAATAATCACTGTTGTATACTTAACTCCGCCTGGAGCTCCTCTGAAGCTACCACCGGTCCTAAGCCCGGATAAAGGAGGAGGGTTGAGCATGGGGTTAGTGACCCCATCCCGTAGAAAACTAACTCGCTAAACAAAAACGCTAGCCAGAAAGTAAGTACTGTTTTATACTTACATCAATAGTATGTGTACTTGATTCATCAATTGGGATATTCAAACGATTTTCTTTATTTTCATATTCTTCATAATGTTTATGAAGTAAATGATGAATTTTTTGAAGTGTTTCTTCTACTTTATCATGAGCTGATTGAATTGTTTCCAATGATTTATCATTATTTAATAAATTTGGATATTCTTGACGAATTGATAAAATTTTATCAACTAATTGATCCAGATATGTATCGGTTAATACATTAGCAAAACCTTTAGATGTTTGTAAAATTTTATTGAATTCCAATGATGAAGATGATGATGAAGAGAATGGTGGAAGTTTCTTTCCCAAATGATCAGCCTTTCATCCATTCAAAACAAAATAAAAAGTACGTTTCTTATACATCTTTTTTTATCAAGTTATATTTATCATCATCAATAATGTTTGAAACGAATAGAGGATGAGTGCAATACCTTAGAGTTAATAAGAAGTTAATATAAATTCACTTGATGTTGTTTTATTTGTTTCTTCCAATTGTTAATTATTACTGTAATTGATCAGTCTCTTGTTGGCATATGCGCACATTGCTTTAAGTCACAAGCTCTTTAAGCAAAGATGGATAGTGGCTAGCAGTGGAATCCAGTTTGACGCGTGTTTTATCCTATCTGGGATTCGTCAACTGGATGTACCTCCGGAACTCGAACCCCGTACGTTCGCTTCAGATGCCATCGCGTTATCCACTTAGCTACTGAGTCCTGAATGCCACCTGCTTGTGCAATGTGGTAAAGTTTAAGTTCACTAGGTGTTGTTTTTACTTGTATCTTCCCATTGTTATTTAGGACTGTAATTGATCAGTCTCATGTTGGCATATTTGCAATCCTATGCGGATTGCCTCGATATAGCCTTAAGTCACAAGCTTTTTAAGCAAAGAAACGCGTGTCCTGGATTCAACTGCTAGCCATTATTCATCTTTGCTTAAAGTTATTATGTTCATCAGTAAATTCATATTGTGAGCTTTCAACAGCTAATGATATTAATTAGTTAATCAAAAAGAAATAAACAGAAGTTTTTTTCTTAAAAGAAAACCTATATATTATGACTTTATGTCCGGCTTTTTACCACGTGGTTTATCCGCCAATCAAAATACGACCTAAACAATCTTAGCACTGTGCCAGACCAATGACGTTCGACCGGTATGAGCAGCCTAGAGTCCTTATTGGTCCTATGTCCGCCTAGCCCGTACACTTGAGTCCAGAACACCACATACCAGCTTCCAATATGCGAATCGAATAATTTATTTCAGACATACTGGGTTTATATATCAATCAAACAGACCGCAACGCACCATAAAATAGGAAATAACATTTATACACAAAAAAGCCAAAAACTGGCTGTGAACGTGGGAGACAGTAGTCAATAAACTGAACATAACTTAAGAACACTAAATCGTATAATAATCAAAATGAAGCTTATAATAAGAGGGATATTAATATACATAATCTAATTATTGAATAGTTATACTATAAGAATATATAGATAATATTAGTCGATTAATATGTATCAGAAGTTACTCATGATTTAATCTTCGTTCGGATATAACACTATAGTGAATAGTAAATTATTCAACGCTTAACGAGCAATGGATTAGTGATTAAGGCATTCGACTTTTAGCTAATAAGTCGAAGATTTGAAAACTCCACCTCAATCACCTTGTTTTGAGTGACTGAATGAATATCAGCAACCTTTACATTTAAAGTATTGCTTGAAGCCAAGTATGTGTATCTGTTACTATGTAAATAAGTTAGATAATGTAGATTATCATCTGAAGTGATTCGAGAGTACATAGAGGATTTTACAAACACTATTTACAAGAAACTATGATTATTGTACAATAAAACATAACAATCATTGTATAAATGGTTAACATCGAAATAAAAGAAAAAGTCATTACAAATTATTTATCTACTGAATTTAATTTGTAAGGAATTGAGTTATTGAGTTGTTGATATTCTTAACAAAAATGTTAATCAATTTTAGTTGGCATTCAATTGTTCAGTGTATAATGCGTTTGGCGTTCGAAACCAAACATGCCGAATTCGAGTTCAATCATGAACATGAACACTGGGATGTAAATACATTCAGCCGATCAATCCCAAGTAGAACAGAACGCACAACCTGGATTCCACTAACACATCAAACTAGAAGTTAATAATCTACTTGATAATGAATAGTTAGAGGCGAACTGTTTCTATCTCTAGTAATACTGGTCACAATAGAGACTGTATCATAAGAAGAGAGGACAAATAAACTGACCAGTCAAACGATGGTGCCAAGACTATTATAACTATATGTAATCTTAGGAATACACAGATCCTATCTATTCAAATTTAAGAACTGTAAATTAGACGTTCCAGACTTACTTACGCTCCATCAATAGTCCACAAATAGATTGTAGCTAAAAACCTGTAATTGTTAAGTTTTAAATTATGCTAAACCACTTAATATTCTGAATAGGCTATATCTCTAAAATTTCTGTTGGAGATCTTAACCTACTTCAAAATTACAATTCACCACTGACTATTATAACTTCTTACAATACGCCGTTAATTTTGATTCCTAATTATAATATATTGAGGGAAAGGTGACAATCAACTGAAAGACTGATACCACTTCTTAGTTTGGCCGCCGCTAGCAATCATTCAGCCTAATCTTACAGCAAGAAGCACTGCACAACGAGGTAAGAAGTGGTTGGGTACACTATGATACACGTGTCAACCATCTCAGTTTATGAAGATTCACTACCTCATCAACCAATTTCTTATCTTTATCTATTACCATGAGTTTAACCGTAATATGACTCACTTGAAGGTTTAAGTTTACGTAGCAGAATGGCAAACGTCTGAATGACTCGATGTATAACGCTAGCAAAAAATAGCAGAGGTGCGATTATTACACAAACAGCAACCAAATAGTATATATCTCCTTACATAGATTAGTTTAATGGTCAGTAACTTCGTCGACTAACACTATACCTACGTTTAGTCAACATAATTTTCTTGCAATCTACTTCAACGCCAATCATAAGCATACAGAATACTATTGTAAGTTTGTTGAAGACAGGAAACACTTTTTTTCTCACATACATAACAATATACCCTTTTAAAGTTTATTTTATTTATTTATTTATTTAAACACATAAACATTGGTACAAGGAGGCACCAAATACATATGCACCACACAAATCTCATTCGATATGTGTGAGGGCTGTGATACTGCCCGGGTGCCCAGACCGAAGCAGATGGTTTCCTTAGGGGGGCCACTCCCAGAGCCTTCGACCTGAAGGTGTGCTCCACAAGGCAGTGGAGCATCGTAAGGAGATGCAGTCCCATGGTAGCCGGTGACCAACAATTGGTTCATACGCCATTTGTTCCTTCAGGATACTGGAGCCCATGTGTACCATTGGTTTGGAATCCGGTTAAAGGGCTGGACATTCGCTTCTCGTCCTCTCAATTTCGTAAACAACACGCCGGCCACGAGAAGGCAGTGATTAGGACTTCCCTGGCAGAAACTGTATACGCGTGGCCGTGTGAAAGCATTTCGAGGGAGAGGGCGGGCCCATCCCACTCTCCCTTTTAAAGAGTCATGTGATACAATGATACAGGAACAAACTCGTAAAACAACAACAAACAAACAACCGTAACTTAAAAAGAAATCTATGTCATTGTAGACTATTTGTATTATCCACGTATATTGAATGGTACAAAAGTAGAAACATATTTAGAATAATATTAAATAATAGTTTATAACAAAATAAAATTGATGACCGGTTAGTTAATAGGCTATTTAATGAACAACTTAGACATACACACATACATACAGGGGAGAAAGGGATGATCAATCTAGTATGTGTTTATTTTTCCGTAGAAAAGATGAAATGCAAATGAAACATCGTGAGAGAGAGAGAGAGAGGGGGGAATGAAACAAACAAAACAGAAACCATGTAACCTTTTACAAAATGGTTACCTTTTACAGAACAGAATATGAAGTAACAATACATATACTCACACAAATACATACAAAGATCCATGATATATATAAGCATATAACCATATAACTATTATAATATAGATATATCTCAGTCATTTATTCATTCAATAATGATTAAATCATCATCATCACCATCATCGTCGTCAGCAACTGGTACAATAATAGGTGATGATAGTGTTGTCAATTCTTTATCAAATCGTAATTTCTTCTCTTTGATTCTATTCATATTGTCTTGATCATCACAGGTGATTGTATCGAGAAATTTACGTTTATTACTATTACTATTAATACTAGTATTATTATTGTTATTATTATTAACACCATTTTCCAAATCTTGATTTAAAGTAGTCATAGATTCTTCAGTAATTTCAATTAAATCATCCTCTGTATCATCATTATTGTTGTGAACAAATTTATCTAAGAGAAATAGAAGAAGAAGAATAAAAGAGAAAAAATAAATTAGAATATCTAGTTAAAAACATTTTAGATAGACGCTGTGAGATCGATGTTATACTCCTTAAAATTAGTCAGTCAATTAGTAACAACGTAGAACTTCGTACCTACGTACGTAGATCAATTCAAGTTGCCATACCACATTAGCACACAGATACAAATGTCCATTCAAATCCCATAGTGGTAGAGGTAGTAAAAGTATAAAAAGTAATCGTAAACATTAGGGTTTGAACATGTTATTCAAGGAGTATAATCCAGTCAAATAAATTCGGAAAGAGAAAAAAGAAAGGGACATGAACAGCTCCTTAGAATGATGCAATTGAGAACGTAGATTAATCCCTGTGTATTATTCATGTTTACATTAAATTCTAAGAAAGTCCTACTGCAACTAGAACTATGTGTTGAGAGTATTTTTATACAAACTAAATAGTGAAAGCTGTTGATATGGAAAGTTCACTTAGGTTAACTGATATATTGTAATTTCAAACTAATAATCCTATAGATTGTCTCAAAAATCCTAAGGAAACTAAATGTGGGAAAATGATTTGAGCCTGTTGGTTTATTTGATACCACTATGTATATTACTTAGGCGAGTAAACCATCTAAAACTCTTAGATGATAAGATCATCTATTTATCTAATAGGCTAATTAAATTCACTGTAACCCTCCTATTACACGGTGGCATGTCACAGGACATGTACTTACAAGCTATTTCACTAAATATTTGTAGATAACATTCAGATTAGAAGCCGTTGAGACAAAAAGTATCAGCAAGTCAAACATAACGTAGAACCAGCTACGTTTGTACATCGGTATAAGTTCCCATACTCCATTATCACAGAGAGATGTGATTGTTAAACAAATTCCTGGAGTTGTAGAAGTAGTAACAGTATTAGAAAAGATTGGACATCGAAAATACAAATTATTGACAACATGTATACATTTCCAACTCAACAGAGTCGGCTTTTTAGGTACGGTAATAATAATGGAATCTAGATTTTCAATATGCCCGATTCTGCGTTGCCGGAGTTAGGCATTACTAACATAGTGTGGTCATTAAATATAAGTGATCTTCCGAAGATTATGATATCCGAAAATATAAACATCGAGTCTTTTAAATTCGTAGAGGTCAGGTTTTCAAGGCACAAACCAGGACTGTGCGTACAAACACGTCGCGAGACTAATGTTTTGTGACTAAGCTAACCTGCGACAAAACGAAAAGTATTTAGGGTAAGGGTTGCTATCAGTCTTCTAAAAGTACTTTACAATTTGACGTAATAAAGTATATTCCAAAAATACAGACAACGGTTACCGACTGATTAAGAGCGATTTGTGCAGCTTGGATTTTTTATATCATAGTGAGGATTAAATTACGACTTCCGAGAACCATTAATGGACTAATATTTTTATTGTATAACCGTTCAGTAACTAGATTAAGTATAACTATATTCCTCTTATTATAGACTTCATTTTCACCAATAGATTATTATTAAACGATTTACTGTTCTTAGGTTATGTTCAGTTTATTGATTACAGTCTCCCACGTTCATAGGCACTTTCTAGCCTCATCATGTATAAATGTTATTTACTATTTTATGTCATGTGGTCTGTTTGGCTGGTACATAAAACAAGTATGATTGAAATAACTTATTCGCATAGTGTAGGCTGTTGTTGGCGTTTCTGGACTTAACTGGACGGGCTAGGCGAACAATGGACTAATAAGGACGATAAACTGCTCATACCGTTTGAACATCATCGGTTGGCACTGAGTTGCCCCCAAATGCCCTGATACGGTCGAGAGTGGGGAGAGTCCGCTCTCTCTCTCTCTCCAAATGCTCTCATATGGCCACGCGTATATATCCTCTGCCAGGGAAGTCCTACTCATTGCCTTCTCGCAACACCGGTGTTGTTTACCAAATTGAGAGGACGAAAAGCGAGTATACGGCGCTATAACTGGGTTGGTGGACATGGATAGTCCACCTAGGGAAGTTGGAAAACCATAATTCCAAACCAATGGTGCACATGGGCTCTAGTATCCTAAAGGAACAAATGGCGTATGAATCAATCGTTGGCCACTGGCTAACATGGGACTGAATCTCTTTACGATGCTCCACTGCCTTGTGGAGCACACCTTCAGGTCGAAGGCTCCGGATGTGGCCCCCCTAAGATAACCACCTACTTCGGTCTGGGCACCCAGGCACTATCACAGCCCTCATATATATCAAATGAAATTTGTGTGGCGCATATGTATTTGGTGCCTCCTTGTACCAATACCTATGTGTTCAAATAATAAATAATAATAATGGCACTGAGTTAGTACTGAGATTGAATAAGTCGTATTTCGATTGGTGAATAAATCACATGATAACTAGCCGGGCTTTAAGTCACAACAGTACCATACACTAAACAATTTTCGAAATTAACTATACAAGTAGCATATTGACATTGCTGTGTACAACTTTTTACAAACCCTTTCACAAAGTACTATTCATAAAGAAGTTGAAATATGATAACACTGAGTAAAACTGTCCAACAAACAAATCAAGAATGAAAATATTTAGTACTGGGTACCAATCATTTAGCAAACAATGATAAGTCATTTGAAGATATCGTCATTGATTGCAGCGGTTACAATATGTTGCATGTGTGTGTGTGTATGTGTGTATAGTCACAATACCATTTTTAATGTCTCATGTTATTAGCTATGTTATCTTACCATTTGCTTAAACGACAAACTCAAATCATTAAGATAACCTAACTAATTTCCAAATACTTATCCAAAAATATATATAAATATGTTCTCTCAATACCTGTATTTTCATTGTTCTCTTTTTCAGCATTCTTTTCTGATACTGTATTATCTTTTGAATTTGATAAAATGGAATTGATATCACCTACAATTCTCCATATTTCAGATTGTTGTTCTTCATTATTAAATTGCTCTGTTAAACGACTATCCATATTAAAGTTTAATGTGGATGTTGATGTGGATGAATCAGATGGAGTAGGTAATGCATTAGCCAATTCTACACTAATACATGATAAAATAAGTTGAATGGTAAAATCTTGACGAAAATCATCACATTGTAAACAAGTTCCATGTGTTAATTTAAAGTCAGCTAATGTTTTATTTAACGTCTCTGAAATAAGCAACAACAAAAAAAACAAGAAAACAATTGACACTAGCAAAGTATTACCAGTGATAGAATCAATAAAACGAGATAAATTAATCAAATTGTGATGATATATATTTTGTACTGTTTTATCTAACCTACTAAACTAATTAATTAATTAACGTAGAACCCAGAATCTCGTATTAACACTAATCCTGTTAAGTAATTTAGAAGTAGTCAGATGTGGTGGCAAATCAATTGATGAAGTAGTGAAACTTCATCAGTTGAGATGGCTGGGACACGTGTTACGTATGCCCAACGAACGACTGCCTCGACGAGCGATGTTTTCTGGTATAGGAGTAGGTTGGAAGAAAGCTAGGGGCGGCCAAACCAAAACATGGCACAAGTCCATGAAGTCACTGACAAGTGAACTGAGTCATGTTGGTAGGTGTAGACTACCTGGTTGGGGACTGCGAGATGATAGCAACCGATGGTTAGAGACCCTGAATGACAAGGCTCAAAATCGTTTGCACTGGTGAGTGCAGATGCATCCACTCTTTGTGCTCTCCCAAATTCTAATCTTCTGAATTCTTCATGTCCCTTTTTTCCTCTTTCCAAATTTATTTCGCTGGATTATACTCTTTAAATAACATCTACAAACCCTAATCTTCCCAATTACTGCTTATACTCTTGCTACCTCTACCACTACGGGATTTGAATCGACAACTGCATCTCTGTGCTAATGTGGTGTGGCAACTCGAACTGATGTACGTACGTACGAAGTTCTACGTTGTTACTGACTGACTGACTGACTGACTGACTGACTGACTGACTGACTGACTGACTGACTGACTGACTGACTGACTGACTGACTGACTGACTGACTGACTGACTGACTGACTGACTGACTGACTGACTGACTGACTGACTGAAGATCAGTCACAATTAAATAACTCACTAGTAACGTCTAAGATTGTGAAGTTTGATGATGCAGGTTCAAACCATACAATAAACATCAGTTTCCTCATAATCGCAGATACACGTTGATGATGGATGTTAACTAGCAGAGAAATTGAGTTCAAGGTTTCTTGTTGACCATAGTCAATCATGCGATTTTGATTCACTAAGACAAGTGGCGACACTGTGACTTGATTAAGAGAATTCAATCAGCCTTAAACGACAAGACACTAATATGTGTGAAAGGTATGGTGAGTATTCGTAAAAGTTAGTATTATTCTGTTATAGGTGTTGAGGATTGAATTTCCGATGTGGATCCTAATGCTGGTCACAATCTAAATGTACTGAAAAGTTATGACAAAATAACCAGTGTCATAATGTACATACCCCAACAAAAACTGATCAAAATTCGCTATGTGTTTTGTAATTTAACTGAACAAGGTCATCAAAAACCTTATAAACACCGACTTTAAAATAACAGAGATCTACAGCTCAGGTGGATGATGATATTGACCAGAAAGGTAATGATACATACACAGTTAAACTATCTTGTTCACAGAACAAAACAATATC